GAAGGTGCACAGCTTGGATGGGCTGCCGGATCAGAATGGCCGGTTATGTAAGGTGTGAACGGGATGTGTAAAGAGCAGCACTCACTTCTGTCGAACTCCTTGCCATTAGATCATGTATATATATCTGGCCTTTCCTAACTTAACAAAAGCGATAAGCATTATATTGACTAATAGTGAGCCACACTCAACCATGCTCACAAGAATGGAACATTTTTACTGACTGGGCTCAATCTTTAGGCTGCGGCAATGTGGCCGGAAGTGAAGAACTGCGACTTGTAAGCTTCCACTACGAGCGGATCCTGCACGGTTGGCCTACGCATAGCAGGATGCTGTCTCCGATCTTAAGACAGGCACTTGCGCATACCATTGCGGCCCGCCTAACACCCGCCGAACGTCGTGACAACGCATCCTCAATATGCTACTGGAGCGTTGTACCGTCTGATGAATGAGCAGCTAGGTCTTACACTTCAAACAACTCCGTTGGTATTGGATTATGAAAGGCTTTACGCAATCTACTCGGCGCACTGTCTGGTGATATCGCAGGCTAATTTCTCGGCCAAGGCATCTGTCCATGGTAAGCCAGATATAATTAGTAAAGGAGGTTGCGGATTGTAGCTTACAAATTGTAGCCTGCGGGTGACCCGGAGGCAGAAGAGGGAAAATTGAAGCGTCGACTACCCGCAGCCCCTGCACTCCAAACACGCGGCCCTGGGTATCCACCACGGCCATTGGATCGTCAGCAGTTCCCATAGCACACGTGCACGAGGCATGCGAGATGGAATTGGCATTGCGCCTGACAGTGACTTCAATCTCCGAGTCGGTCTCAACTGAATCTCCCGGAAACGCTTCCGGGCCAATTACCACCGGATCGAGGCCACTTGTTTGCCAGAACTGCCGCGCCCGCTTGAGGCCTGCTACCATAACCTCAATGTCTGCCGATGCAGTGAGCCAGTTTGGGTTGATTAGAGGCGGGACGGCAACATCCCTGGAGGTGATTGTCACGTTGCCGCGGGACTGCGATATTGCAAGGCCAAACACAATGGAGGCGTAGTTCAAATCATCATCAGGCTCCTGTATTCCATCTTCCCTCCCCCCTCTATACCCTGCCATCAGAACATACTCAATCTCGGGCCAGTCCGACGGATACTGGTCAAGGAACTCTCGGGTATCGTTGGACAACTGCGCCCGCAGATCATGGGGGATTTTTTCCCACGCCAGGGCCTCAACTCCGGGGCTGGTATAGGGTCCAGCTGCCAGCTCCTCAAACTGCTGTGCTGCCTCGGCCTGTGCCTCCGGGGAATTCATCGCAGACTCTGTAACCACATTAACAGGGCGCGCCACGAACGACAGGACTTGGTCCTGCAGATTTTGGCCGACGCCTGCCCGGTCAGCCACTACAGGAATACCCAGTGGATTGAGAACCTCAGCAGGCCCAACACCAGATACCATCAGTAATTGCGGTGAGCCAAAGGCCCCTGCGGAGAGAATGATCTCTTTGGTCGCGTTCAACTGGTAGGTAAATCCCCCGGTCTCCACCATCACGGCTGTTGCCCGTTGACCACCATCGAAGAGGATCCGCTTAGCCCGGGTTGACTGATAGACCTGGTAGTTGGGGCGACTCAAGGCACTCCTCAAGAACGCTGTCTCGGATGACTCCCGCAGCATCGTGGAAGCGTTAATGGTTAGCAGAGTATACCCCGAGCCCAGTAGCGAGCCACTCTGGAATCCGGGAATCATTGACAATCCCACACTCTTCATGCCCTGAAGAGCCCACGAAGTAAAGGCCTGGGCGTAGTGGGAGTAGGTCACAGACAGTGGACCCGCGCCAGTGCCCAGCACGCTAGCATCATACCAAGGGGTGGTGTTGGCTAAACGCAGGGACTGATCCGGCGGGGTGAAGTGTAAGCTTTTTTCAAAGAAGGGCAGCAGGTTGTCGAAAGTGAAGCTGTCATCGTTCACCGCATCCGCCCATTTCTGATACGCTCCTTTTGTGCCCCTGTGGAATACCATTCTATTGCGGGCGGAACTGCCTCCCAGGCACTTACCCTGCGGGTAGTGTACCTGTGCATCGTAAAGTCCCTGTTGCCAACAAATCCGTCAGCGCTTGGCATATCTTATTCTGCCGATTGCCCTGAACTACGTACCTCTTGCGGGGTAGTGACATATCCCCAGTCAATCAAAGGTTGCCAGTCAGATGGGGATGGACCACTGTATTCTCCGGCACTGGCAGGGACCTGGCTTAGATTACCATTGTCAATCTCGTAGAAACCTCCTGCTTCTATGACAGCCACCGAGCCGTTCTGCTGCTCGGCTAGTCGCGTGGCCAGCGTCAAACCCGCGGTTCCACCTCCTACCACGATGTAGTCGAAAGTTGCATTGGTCCCAGGAACACCGAATGAGGACCCCAGAGGCCTTTGTCCCAGCGCGTGGGCGGAGGCAATCAGCACTGCCCCCAAGCTAGCTTTGAGCACAATGCGCATGTTGGATGTTGTATGAATACCCCATGAAGCCTGCAAAGTCAGTGGGGATTCGAAGAGATAGCTCAAAGGTCTGGCGACTCCTGTCTCTGCAAGGGCGGAGGGGCCCTGGTGTATAAAGTAATTGTCACCCATTGCTCTGGCGCCTGTGAAGCTCCCGTAAACGGAATGTGGATGTTTGTGCTCGTGGAATTTAACGTCACTTGCTGGAATGTTGGTGAATGATCCGCGGCGGCTTTGCGGTCAGCGTTCCAGTGATAATAATGCCGTGGCTTAGGCAAATGAAAAAGCCGGTATTTGCTGTAAGATGGTATGCAACAGTGATCGATTTTTCGGGATACTACTGCTATGCTGAGTAACACGCGTTCAATAGTAGGGTTATTATGTACACAATGCCTCGAAGCGACTACGGATGGCTGCTTGTGACACCTAACCCGCATATTCCACCTCTTACTTATCGTGCCACAGCATACTTCATCCACAGTGGGTCCTGCAGCAGGCGTTCCAAGCAGCTCTCTTCCACTCCTACCAACACCTCCATCCCCCGCTCTGGTGGCGCCGGCAACACGAGTTGCAGACCGTTGATGACACCAATGTGAGGGGCTCGCACCGCGCCGATATGGTGGCCCATGAGGGGACCCCATTCCAGTCCATATAACTGGAAGTTGATCCAGGAAGTCTGTACGCAGTTGAACCCAGGGACATCCAGGAATGCCGTGGGCACCAGGCAGTCCACATCCTCCAACTGCTCTACCAGTGCGACCAGGTCATCCGTGAACTGCCGGTCGGCGCGGAGTACTTCTTTACGGATCAGGATGGCTAGATCCGCAAGGCTAGCGGAGCCCAGAATGGTGCGAATCGGGAGGGAAACCCCGAGATACTCCAGAAAGCATCCCAAGGTCTCCGGGTGAACAGGCGGATCGGTCCGTAGGCGCCCGTCGATCGCGAGATTGAAAACGGATACGGGATCACCCTGGAGAGTATCCAGGGGCCACTGCACAGCCATCACCGTCCTCCAGAGCAGCGCCGATAGGGCGTCATTGGTAGAAATCCAAGTTTGGTCTGAGGTCATGGTCGCATGAGCGGGAGACGCTGCCTCCTTCAGTGCCGTCAGCGCTGCAGGGGAGAAATAGAAGACTTGAGTGCGATGGTTCTGGGCCAGCATCTTAGGGGGTGCTCCGGCCGATGCAGATGGAAGCAATGTGTACTGCGGATGAGTGCCCAGTGAGCCGGGATTACGTCCAGATGCCCGCATTGCGCATTCGCGATCTCTGAAAGTCGCTTCTGGGAGCTCGATGGGTTCAGGAATGGCCATGCCCTGAGCACGACGACACTCCTCCGCCCAAACCTTCATCCACACCTGGTACGTCGTGCCGTCACCAACCACATGCAACACGCACCAATTCAATAGCAGGCCACCGGGGATGAAGTTGGCCTGCAAGAGAGATACTGGCAATCGCTCTCCCGGAGTGGGCCATACAGAGCGGCGGCATAGCACGTCGGCATCAAAGAAAGCCACCGGAAACGCCCTGGCCTGAAGCTTTGCGTATGTGGTCGGAAATTTGCCGGGCGCACGGAGATCTCGGGTCACTATCGGCTCGATGTATCCCTCGAGGAGGCGTTGGAGGCGAAGGACACCTCGTTGTGTTGTGCGATGGTCCGGCACCGCCTCGCACGCCATAACCGGTAGCCGGCGAGTGGTGGCCACGTAGCTCACCCGGAGAATCTCGACCACCTGGTCAAGATCATAGTCATCTCCAAGTGGGAAGGGAAAGATGTACCGCACATAGCCCTTGGGACCGATACGTTCTAACGCCGTGAGGCTCGGGATGTCGCTCGCTTCAGCTATCGAACCCATTGCAACACATGAAATGATGCCTCCAAAAGTATGTCGTATGGAAAAGAGGGTCAGCATCCCGACATGCAAGCCAGGTACAGGCACATCATCCTCGAATTAATACCTTTCTCTTGAGCAGAACCCAGCAGACGGTTCATGGACCGGAGAGGCAGCGACGGCACTAAAATGCATCCTGTTGCGACGACATCAGGCCAGGCTTCCCAATACGTCAACTGACAGGAGAAAGCGATATCCAATCGAGAATATGATTGGCCGTGATACTGGCTTGGGTTATCTATCACTGGCGAAAACTTGGATTCTTTGCTTAACCGCCGTTTTATCCGTCGGAGAGCAGCGGAAAAATTGTGATCGTCGCAACGATCCCTGTCAGCTGTCAGCACTAACGCACAGCTAACATGCTAAAAGCGACACCGTCGTTCATCCCAATGTGCCATCCATTGACTATAGACTTAAGTTGAAAGGAAGCCCCTGCTAGCTTCGTGAGTGTTAGGAAAAAGGAGCAAATAGCGTCTCCTTACCAACCCGACTGATGGCTGTCTGCTCTAGGCCACTGCAAAATAATAACCCCTTTAATATTTCCTTGCTGCACATAGCATCGGCTTAGCCGCAATATAGAAGCTGAGAAAGAGCATCATATTGCTCCAGCTTATCTTATTAATCCAGACATGGACATCAGGGACCTAAATCCAAGTATAATAGCCGTCTTCGGTCAACCTCCTGCCCACATCGATCTAGCTGATAGCCAAGTACGTCGAGACAATACAGCCGTTATTATTTTGCTGGTCCTCAGCATAATTGCAGTGGGTCTCCGGTTCATCGCGAGACTGGCCGTGCGGAATCCTTTTCAACTGGACGACTGGTTGATTCTGGTGTCCTTGGTGCGTGAACAACATGAGTCAATCCGCAATTGGTCTTCAAGCCCTAACATCGATATCGCTACTTACCAGGTTTTTGTTGCAGCCACAGCAGGGCTAAGTCTAGCGGGTAGAGCGCGAAATACTTCCTATTCCCCTAGATACGTCGGCTTCTAAAACGCGTCAAAAATCTAGGCGGCGCATTTGGCGCTGGAAAGCATGTATGGGCAGCATCTCTGGCCGATGTGTCGACAATTTTCAAGGTACGATTGTGCGATACTTTCGGTATAATATGTGGTAGCTCACCAGGCAGATCCTGTTCACATACACCTTTATGTATGCTGCCGGATGTTCAGCATATAAACTCTCGATCCTCTTCTTCTACCGCCGAATCTTTGTAGCTGTTCATCAGCCTCTCTCCCTCCGAATCTCCGTTTTATTTGGATTTGTGCTCGCGCTCTCTTACCCTGTTATTGTCTGGGTGGCCATGGGGAACTGCTGCAAACCGCTGTCCTATTTCTGGAATCAGTTCCAGGGTGCGTCGGGAACGTGCATTGACACTGACACATTCTTTCTCGCAACCGGGGTGGTCAACATGATCAACGACATTATAATCCTTATCATCCCCTTTCCACAAATTGCGAAGCTCCAAATGAACCGCCGGAAGAAGATTGCTGTCAGCCTAATTCTTGCGTTGGGTAGCTTGTGAGTGTGCCATACTCCCAGTTTGGAACACCCCTAACGTACCTTGCAGCGTTTGCGTAGCCAGTGCCGTGCGCATATATGTTCTATATCGATTCACCCAAGCTCGTGATATTACTTGGATGATGGGACCGCTGTTCATCTGGTCCAGTATTGAACCATCTGTAGCTATTGTTTGCGCCTGTCTCCCTCATCTCGGACCACTGGCGCGTCTCACCCGCATTCGGTTACTGTCCAGTCAAGGAAGCAAAGGCAATCAATTCCCCTTCTCAGGGTCTCCACGGAAGCCTTCACGCTGTCATGGAGGCCGGGCCCACTGGCAGGCTGGCATACGACTTAGCCAGCCTGGACGCGTAAGGACGCTAACCTCTACCTGCGAGGTAGCTGAAGACGAGGTTGGGCTCGCCAACCTTGGGACGGATGACACGACAGCACAGCATACGCCATCTCTGCGCTCAACATTGGGATGCCCCATTCCAGATCACTCCATTGTCGTCCGATCTAGCTTGGAGCAATCCGTTTCCTGTCGCTAGACCAGGGGGTGTGGCAGAGTATGCACGGCACGGATAGTGGGGATAAATGTCGTAGTCACGACAGATTATGGTGCATACGAGTACGCCAGCTAAGCTTAGATAGCATCAACAAGGACCTGTGACTAACACGGCGGGGCAATGATAAGAAAGGGTCGAGAGACAACGCTTGCTCTCCTCCCGGCTGTCATGTTTACCTGAAACACTACCGAAACCGGGCCAAGGGTCTCTGAGCCTCACCCAGAGTCCGATCTACATGTATGTCACTACTGATTGAGTGACAAATCAGCATGGTGAAAGCGTAGTTCCGGCAAGCTCTATGGGTGAGGGATTCTTTTCTACCTGGAGCTAGGATTGTTGTGGCTCAAGCACGTTGTGGTTTCCCGCTCTGTTTGTCAAGCGCTGGAATTCTTAGCAATCACTTCGCTCGAATGTTAAATATCAACGAGTGTGTATTGAACATAGGATTATGATAGTTAAGGATAGTAATAGAAATTGAACGAATGACAGATGTGCCACCACACAATGACCATGAACAATATGATGCCCGGAGCACCACCCCCTACAATCCAAGCCACACCACCATGGGTTGCTTATTTACCTTAGGTCGAGTCCTCGGATGCCTTCACCACCACGGGAAAGCTTTCGCTCGCAATTTGTGCAGAGTCCTCCACCCACACCAGCTTGTAGACATCTTCAGTGTCCGTCTTTGCCGCCCAAAATTGTGCTTCCAGCTGGGTATTATTGTTGTAGACCAGCTGCGATGCAAAGAGGCCAAAGCCCGTGACCACATCATTCACCCCTTTAGCCTGGGCAAACGGTAGCACGCCGAGACAGTTGTCACTTTCCGGTCGGATGTACAGGGAGCCCGCGCGAGTGCCGTTCATGAACGTGCCGTTCACGATCCAGGACTCGTCGGTGATGGAGGGCAGGTCCCAATACATAGGTGTAAGGTCCGCAGCGGTGTTCTCCGGATTTTGAGCGATGTACAGGAGGCCTGAATTGTCAGTCAGCAGCGGATGAATGGTACATGACTCCGGAGGCCATACCATCACTGAGCCCATAAGCGATCGGATAAGCGGAAGAGTTCTGTCCGTAGGCCAACAAAGTGGCATTGGTCTCCGATCCCCGCTTGACATGGGTGCTCCAAGCAGCGCTGAGGCCAGCGTGAAAGGCGATCAGAGGGCAAAGAAAGCTCGTCCACTGCATCATGAGCTGGTGGTAGACCGGGTGTTGAAAAGGGAGGTGGGTAAAAATGTAAGAAACGAATATGAATGTAATGGACGTGCTTTGCGTTTTTCGGCCAACGAACAAAAACGTCGTTATCATACAATCCTATAAGGGAACCCTTCCCAAATATAGGCTCATTCCTTTAGTGGACCCCTAGCCCTTGAATGCCAAGGTTGAATATTCCTAGCATGCTCTGGGTTCTGGTACTCAAACGGAATTCCCGAGTGAGTCCGCGGGAAACCGGCAAAAATCTTCGACTGTATACGTGGTCCCCAAGCCATGCTAACGGCAGCGAAACCTTGTTCGATGCGTGGGTGACGCGCATGCCTGGCCCCAGAATAGGGCTGAATGGGAATGCCATTGTGTTGGCAGACACGGCAGAGCCGGTGGAAGACAGTAGAACTGCCATTACGATGGGGACGGAAAGCTTGGTGCCAAGAGCAGAAAAAATAGATGTTTTGGGTGGAACCAAACACAATGCCAGTGGAGACGGTTGTGTGATGACGTTGCGGAACCACGCGAGCCTGTGGCTGATACCAGCGATTCTGTGGATAATTCACTGTAGTCCGCGATCTTGACCCATCTGGTCTGTCCATCTTTGCCCCATGGGGCACTAGTCTCTGCACACTAGCTGGAGATTGTCCCGGCACCTACCCAGCAGAGCTTGGTCGACTCTCGATCGTCACGGTACAGGGCTCTCAGGGCTCTCAGTGTATCTGAAACTTGAACGTCTTACTCAACCCTGTGCCACCATGATAGCCCCCATATTTGTGGGAGCTGAGAGATCCTCGGGTGCTTCCCGTTGCTAAATTTCCCGGGGCTTCTTACGTACTGCAGGATTAAATGCCTCGAGCGCACCCGCTGGCCCTTCAGGTACTAGTATCTAACATTACTGTCCTACCTTCTCCCTCGGGTTGGTAGGCATAAATCCAACATCGTCAATGTGGCCGCTTATTTAAATTTCCGTTGTGCTCTGTCCGATCCCACATTTTCCATAGATCTATCCAATCATAACTCGATCTTTTGATGCTGACAGGAAGACTCAGAAATTTCCTGAATGTTGGTCAACGAGCAACGCAAGCAGGGCTTCTGGCATGCGTGTCGCTGGTGGGCCCTTCTTAATGGCACCCCCGATCGCGCCAATACTCAAGCCTAGGAGCTTGATGACCAAAGATAGACTCTCACTATCCCCATGTTGTCTTTAGCTTGCATGGATCGTCGGTGGGGGCGCGGGTGGGTGGCCCTGGTACCAAACACCATTGCCGGTACTCTACCACAGAGACGGACCATGGCCGAGCAGAGGTACCTGGACGTTGTCCGACAACGCTCAACCATCTCAAAGAAGCATATAAAACTTGACCATTTGGAAGCAGATATGCCACTGCTGCATAGCATCATTCAGTCCTCATTGTTGTGCACTTGTCATTCTTTGATGCTCTAGTTCTCTTCCTATACGTTCGCTGTGCCTTTTTACTCTATTCATTCCTTCTTTACTGATTCATTGAGTCGCTCGCTTCTATCTCTTTCACGCGTTACGTTCGCGTTAATGTTAGTATAATGTGGTTCTTCGCCTCTTTTCTTCTATCAGCCCTTGCTATACCACAGGCCATCGGGGCTTCCATCCCGTCCACCTCCAATTCCAAAGAATGCGTCAACAGTCCTACCAACCGGGCCTGCTGGCGAGACGGGTATAACATTTCGACCAACTACTATGAGGAGGTCCCTGATACCGGGGTCACGCGCGAGTACTGGTTCAATGTTGAAAATACCACCGCCGCTCCAGATGGCGTTGAACTTCCTGTTCAATTGATCAATGGCTCCTTCCCCGGCCCCACGATCATCGCAGACTGGGGTGATACAGTAAGTAAGTAGTATTTGCTCGTCCTGTTACTTTGTATTTAGTGATTGACTCCAGGGGTATCTAGTCGTCCATGTCACCAACTCCCTGCAGTCTAATGGAACGGGTCTGCACTTCCACGGAATTCGGCAGAACTGGACGGACCAGATGGACGGTGTCCCTAGTATCACGCAGTGCCCCATCGCTCCGGGACAGTCATACACCTACAAATGGCGTGCTGTGGAATATGGAACGGGATGGTATCACTCCCACTTCTACGTTCAGGCGTGGGATGGTGTGTTTGGTGGAATTCTGATCAATGGCCCTGCTACGGCCAACTACGATGTGGACCTAGGCCACATCTTCTTGAACGATTGGTATCATGTACGCTTTACCCCCTCCTCCTTGTAACCTCAGCATAATGCAGACGCAGGGCAGGCCTAATTTTGTCAGAAAACTGCCGACGAACTGGTCCTAGAATCCGCTACAAGTGGACCGCCCACTCCTCCCAACGGCCTAATCAATGGGACAAACACTTATGGCAACAACGGTTCGCGTTTCGAGACAACCTTTGATGCGGGTACCAGATACCGCATTCGCCTCGTCAACGCGGCAGCTGACAACCATTTCCGCTTCATGATTGATAATCACACCATGGAAGTGATTGCGGCAGATTTTGTCCCTATTCACCCCTACAACACCACACAACTGAGTATTGGCATGGGCCAGCGCTACGATGTCATTGTAACGGCTAAGCAACTGAACAGCGGGAACTTCTGGTTGCGCGCAATTCCCCAGGAGGCCTGCTCCGAGACGGATGGCTTGAACAATATCAAGGGCATCATTCGTTATGACAACTCTTCCACGGCAGACCCCACGACCTCGGCCTGGACTTATACTGACTCCTGTGCCGATGAGTCCTCCTCTGACCTCATCCCTTACGTAGCCATCAATGCCTCGGACAATTTTGCCTACAGTACAAGTGAAGAGGTCGCAATCGAGGTCGCCTCGAACGCCTTGCTGTGGACCATGAACAAGACCTCCTTCCACACCGAATGGGATTATCCTACGCTGATGCATGTGGCCAACCACAACTACACCTGGGCAGCCAAGGAGCGCATCATCCATCTCCCCTACCAGGACCAGTGGGTGTACCTGGTCGTCCACTCTCCCTTCGCCCAGGACCATCCCATGCACCTGCACGGCCATGACTTCTGGGTTCTGGCTTCGGGCTATGGTGATTTCGACGCAACAAAGACCGACGCCCTGACTTTGGTCAATGCCCCCCGGCGTGACGTGGCGATGATGCCCGCCAGTGGCTACTTGGTCATTGCGATCAAGACCAACAATCCAGGTGTAAGTGCTGACCTTTTTCCCCTTGGGCCAATCTGTTGGCTAATTGAGATGTGCAGGCTTGGCTCATGCACTGCCATATCGCTTGGCACACTTCTGAGGGCTTTGCGGTGCAGCTACTGGAGCGAGCCCCGGAGATTATCTACGACTACGAGACACTAAATGACACCTGCGCCAGCTGGAAGAGCTACATCGCGGCTCAAGATGTCGTGCAGCACGATTCTGGTGTTTAAAGGGTTGTGGTTGAAAGTGGCCGTTTTTGAACGACTAATAGGAAGTGAACATTCGTTATCATAATCCAACTAATCTTCCAGCTAGTTCATGAGCTTCCGTGACTTAGTAGGGCGCGCTGTGTCAGAACTGCCATTTTAATTAATGAGTCTATTTATCAACTTCGTATCATTGCTTTCTCATCATGAATCTCACCGAGGGTCAGGTGTCAATACTCGCCGTTACGTGTTTCTTACATTACTAAAACATACTTCCACCGATACGCTGACAGACATTGTGCGTAATGTAACGTAAGTAATACTTACCATGTATCAAGCTCCCGCATGGGCTGGTAGTGTCACAAAAATATATATATTAAACAGTCGCCCCATGTTCACTGCACCTCTGAAACTACTCCAATGACACGAAAACAATCGCACTTGATATGTATCTTGGGAGCGTCGGTATAGAAGGAACATCCTAATTCATCAGCGGTCATGGTTCGAATTCCTCTAAAGCCCCCGGAGTACTCCAGGATGAGTCCCCGCTTCTCAGTTGACTCGATTGCTCTGCTCTCCGTTTCGGACCTCGAGGAGGAAGACTTGATCACACCCAGAAGAGCAACCGGCAGACGCCTTCCATTCTTTAGGCAACTATCATTAGGGGCCATTGTTTTCTACCCCAGGCGTTCTCTTTACTGTGGGAATCGTCGCATCCTTCCCCGTCGGCTTGGTGGCCTTGTCCGGCTGATGATAGGCTTCTTGATCTTGTTGGTCGCTTTGACGGGCATACTGTGGCCCTCGTATACGCATCTACCACCGCACTACCAGCTCCTCCACCAACAGGCCTCTAGAAGCGGCATTACAGGGCGAGGGAACCCGCATAATGAGACAGTTTTCATTGCAGCGATCCTGTACGACCCGGATGGTAAGCTAGCCAACGGGAGATGGGGACATGATTTATTACACCTAATCAATCTGCTAGGTGAAGAAAACGTCTTCCTCAGCCTCTACGAGAATGACAGTGGCATTAGAGGTCGGAGTGCCCTTCGAGGTCTGGAGGGCCGACTGCCGTGCAACAGTTCCATACAAATTGAACTGGACCTGGACTTGACCGCATTCCCGACAGTAACGATCCCCGGGGGAGGGGAACGGGTGAAGCGAACAGACTACCTTGCAGAGATGCGGAATCGTGCCCTACGGCCACTGGATGAGCATCCAGAGATTATCTACGACAAGATACTATACCTGAACGACGTGATATTTGATCCAATTGACGTGCTTCATCTTCTATTCTCTACTAATATCGATGAGAACGGGGTAGCCCAATACCGGGCCGCATGCGCAGTCGATTTTATCAATGCGTTCAAGTTCTATGATACATATGCCACAAGAGACCTGGAAGGCTATGGGATTGGCCTCCAGTTCTTCCCCTGGTTTACTTCAGCGGGGTCAGGCTTGAGTCGTAAAGACGTGCTGGAAGGCAAAGATGCTGTTCGGGTGCGCAGCTGCTGGGGTGGAATGGTGGCCTTCGATGCAAAGTACTTTCAACGACCCGACAACCCGGTTCGCTTTCGCGCCGATCCCGATTTGTTCTATGATGGATCAGAATGCTGCATTATTCACGCCGATATCCAAGATCCACCATTGGACCATACAAAGACCGCAGACACGGGCATTTACATGAACCCGTTTGTGCGGGTAGCATACGACGAGCGCAGCCACTCCTGGCTGTGGGTCACACGGCGATTTGAGAAATTATACCCAATTGTCCACAATATTGTCAACCATCTGGCCGGTTTGCCTCGATACAATCCACGTCGGAGCGAAACTCCCGGCCAGGTGGTCAGGGATACGGTCTGGGTGCCCGATGCGACCGATGCACGCGGGGGCGCATTCCGTGAAGTGGACCGTGTCGCGGGGAATGACGGATTCTGCGCAGATGGATTTGGAGGATATCGGGGGCTTTCAGTGATTGTGGAGAACCGGCAGCCTGGCCAGGATGGCTGGGAGGATATTCCAGTGCCATCAATCTAGTTATTTGCTCATGAAACGTCCCGGGGCATACTATAGACTTGCAGAGACTAGGCCACCCTATGAGTATTGTTGTCTTCTTCAGCGGATGCTCCTCAGAGTAACAGACCCTGGGGCACTTTGGACCACGTTCGACACTTGCCAAACACCGTTCGACAGAGCTTGCCATACTCAACTCGCAAGTTGAACTCTCTCCAAGATCCTTGCGCGTGATGGTACAAGCGCGCAGAGGGGTCCGAGATGGGCTTGGAACCCATGTTTCCATACTTCCCTCGACCGGGACTGTTTAGAATTAGCGCATGGCAAGAGATGCATGTGAAGTAGACGGGCTATACCTGAATCCAGTGATGGGCAAAACCAAGACATCCTCCACTAATTTACTTTCCCCTCCATCCTGCAAGCCTGACAACGCGTTCCATCGGAGGCCGACCGTAGCTTCGAGCCAGCTCTGCACCGCATGAGTAAATGCGACAGGTCCAGTGAGGGTGAGGGGATCTAGTGCGTCCAGATCGTTCGAATGCGGCTGAAGCGCAGGTTCCATGAAAAGACGGTCGAGAAAGATCTGCAAGATTGGATGACCTGGCGCCCATGCAAAGGCCCACTGGGTCAACTGCACGGGCAGCAGGTATCCCATGCGCCAGTAGGTATCACTGTTCGGCGGACAGTCTGCTTCTAACCCAACGATTGCATGGACAGAACCTGTAGAATTATACACATGCCCAGTCTCGTGATCTTCCCAAGGCAAAATATCAGTCTCGGCGATCCAATATGTCGGCAATTGTAGAGGCTCAGTGTCGATATCTGCGTACTACGTGTTTGTCAGTTACCTACACGTGTAATGATATAAAGACCCGGGCATTTCACTCACAACCCCTCCGATCCACTTGGACACGAGAATCCGGAAGACATCCGACCGTTCCACGTGGCTGGGTAAAGCATAGAACTGTTTCTCCCGTTCTGGCTCGAACCGCCGAATGAACTGTCGTATTCCGTCATCGTCCCACAAAAAATAAGCCATCTGCTCGTCTACCGTGCGCAACCATTTCTCCGTGCTCTGCTGTAACACGTGTGGCCAGGTGTCAACGCGCGTGCTCTTCCAGGTTTGGTGGACGATCAGGGGGATTGAGGAGTGCGGGATCTGTCGTTCAGTCGTCTGGGCCAAGCGCAACACTCGCTCGGCGGCGTCGACGATGTTCTCGGGATGCTGTCTCGTCCCATTTGTCCAGGTCGGTGGGATGTACCACGCTGGAGACAACCTGTCTTAGCCGACGAGTTCAAAGTCTTACTCAGCAGTCATATGTTGCTTACCTCCACCACTGCGAGTGTTCGTATGAACGCGTTCGAACAGCAATGGGTAACGGTGTTGAAGAAGAGAAATCTGTTTAACCGAGGTATCAGGCTGTTGAAGTAACCAGGTGAAAAGCACTAGGAAGCAAAGTGCGCCCAGCACGGGACGTCGTAACATGTAGCGCCAGACCATCGTTGTGATGAGTATAATACTCCAGGGAAGGCGGGTGGGAAAGTCGATTTATCCGGCATCAGTAGAGGTTAGCAAAGGCCATGATAATCTTTCATTGGGGGGTGGCTAGGCAGACATGGATATGCCTTGGTCTTCGACTTTTTCTGCGTCGTGGCTAGTCTTGACTGCAACGCCAGGCCGGTGTATAACTTCCCGCGGGTCCCGTCACTTGTAATGCGGCTGCCTAGCAATGGCCCCTAAAAATCACTAACCCTAAGCTCAGAACCTTGCCCTGGCTGGACCCTGGCTACAGTGACTACTAATCCAAGGAAGTACTAGTAGGTGTCATAATACGAGGTCAATCACACGTCCTGGCCAATGGGGGGCTGGAATGGCTCGCATGGCTTACAGAATTCGAGCCATCATCAGGGCCTGCGCCCTACGCAGCCCTAGCCGCGGTGGGGTCGAAGCTTAGTATTGCTTGGATTCGTGGACCCTTTTTTAGGCCAGATGGCAGTGCATCTCTGGTGGGGGCTGATTCACTTGTTGTTATTACAAAGAAAAAGCTTTCTGCCCTGTTTGCCCTGTGGTCTCTCTGTGATGAGCATAGGTATGATTCGCTGCGTACCCTGGCCAATTTGCTTGCACAGCATTACCTAAAAAGGGGAAAACTACAACTCTCCAGACGCGGGACTGTCCGTAGTACCAGTCGCGACTTGCCAATTGCTGATCATGTCTCCACCCTTGCTCTCCGGTCGTGTCAGCACAGTCCAAACCCAGGGGAACATCCCACCGGCCTCGGAAAGAAGCTCGGAAAGTCGAGTTGTCCAGGCAGAAACGGGACCGGAGGATTACTGGTGAAACCCATCTGCGATACACACAAATACCACTGGCGTGTCCCGTATCACAACTGTATTACCAGTCGGAGCTTGCCTTTTTGGCGGCTCAAAACCCGTCCATCACTGCCTCCTTCACTATTCAATTACATCCCTCAAATAGCCTCTCCATATCCATTATGTACCTTTTCCTTCCTTGCCATGCCTTGTCTCAGCCCCAAAGCCTTCCAGGCACTGTCAGCCAGCCGCAATGGCTCCCGCGCGCCTCCGACTTGTGCTGGCAGCCCTCTTACTGTTCATCCTAACCTCCCTGCTCGCCCCGTTTGTTTGCAATCTTTACCTACTGCTTCGATTACCGTTTGTGTGGAAAGCCTCATCCGCCGATGCTATCATCACTGAACAGAATGATGGATTCGACTTGACCTTTTCCGACTACAACAGCACATACTCCGTCGCCGACACCGGCCTGCCTGTTCCAGTCCCCGCAAGGCTGCACCACGTCCAATTGGGCACACAGACCCCACGAGCAGAATGGCAGGCTGCTCGAGACGAGTGTATCAAGCAACATCCGGACTGGGAGACGTTTCTATGGACGGACGAAAACGCTAGCCGCTTCGTGCAGAATCACTATCCGCACTTTCTCCTCACGTGGGAAAGTTACCCGCACCTTGTCCAGCGCGTGGATGCATTGCGATACATGATCCTGCACAAGTATGGGGGTGCCGTGTTGGATTATGATCTGGCATGTAAACGGTCGTTAGAACCTCTGCGTCGATTCGAGTTCGTCGCGCCGGCGGCCAACCCCGTTGGTATCTCCATTGGCATGATGCTGGCGGCACCGAACAATACCTACGTTGGTGATCTGGTGCGGAATCTGCCAACCTTCAATCGAAGATGGTCGTTATTGCCTTACATCACAGTTATGTTCAGCACGGGATGCCACTATGCCTCGTACGTCGCTCTGTAACGCTTAAAGAGAACATAGATTAGGGCTAACAAGTTATAGAACCATTTACACCATGCAGCGCGATACCTCTACCCTCCGCGTCCTAACTGGTCCCCCCGAGAACCCACGAATGCATATGCTCAACGGTGTGGTCAATACCCCGCTCTTTCGGCATTTGGGCAGTTCCTCCTGGCACGAGAAAGACGCAAGATTTATCAAGGCGTTTGCGAATATGGATCAACGGGTGGCGTTTGGAATGGTTCTGGTCGCCTTGGCGGGAGGATGCTGGGCTGTGAGCCTATGTGTCTCTCGGGGCCGGGAATGGCACCAGAGGGACGCAGTGTCGCAGGAGATAGAGATGTTACGGAAAGCACATGATTCTTGAATATTTGTAATTTCTACCTAGACATTTTGCTCACGGTTCTACGTTTGGATACCATATTGGAGACAAATAATTTTGCTTAATGAAAGAATATTTGACAGAACATAATCACTGTCTATGCTATCCGATACAGATTATTAAACCACATATAACGGCTCACTACCAAGTACAACACCCGGTCCCATGAATACTGACTATCATGTTGACTGAATGCTGTTCGCGCAGTCAGGTAGGTCTGCCACGGACTTACTAGCAGCGCTCTATTTCCGTAAATGTCGTGTCCTGTTGGCGCCGGCGCGGCTGTCAGGATCGCTGCCCCGATGCGCCAGGTGAATGGCACGGAAGTCAAGATCAGATCAATGAGCGACGAGTACTTGCGCAGGAGGAATGTACTCTGTAGGGCATAGACTGGCGGGGCATGCGGAAAGTCCTCTGCGTATTTTCTGCTCCCTGTTAGCCTCATTGCTTTGACTAGTATGTGTATCATTCACCTACCGGATACCGGCACTCACGGCCCTATGGTTGATATGGCCGGAAACTCCGCCGTTATCGAAGGTGAAGATCTTCTGTAGGCTTAATACTTGGCCACTGGTTTTGAAGGGCGTAGGGCAAACGTACCAGATCCACTTTCCACATGTGAACGTAGTGGGCGACTATGTCCTGGATGACATCCTGGCGCCACCACTTCTTTGGATTGTCCTGCAAGGCACCGTGCTCTAGAACAACACAGCGAGCAGATGAGATACCGAGTGCGGCACAACTACGTTCTATTTCAGCCTTGCGAATATCTCCTTGACCATGATAGTCGCCTGCACCTCATTAGAAGATATACTACTCGGGAGAATTCTGGTGGAGAAATGACGCACCCGTTGATAGCACTAACAAGGAACGAGTGACCTCCGGGTTGTCGTGGGCGTGGAGGATAGTCGGGCTAAAAAACAAAGTCTCATCATCGGGATGTGCCGTGACGAGAAGGACGTTCCGCGCTTGCTGGATGGTGTGTGGAACAAGACGCGGATCTCCCGCGAGGTAGTATGCGAGAAGAAGATACAGGAAGATGGAGACCGACAGCAGGATCAGAGCCGAGTACGCTATCAGACATCTCCAGTCATGTCGCCGCACTCGGCGAAGTAGGCTCCTGAACAGGCGGGTTGGGGTTGCCATCGATGGGCTAGGTGTTGTTTGTACGGAAGTGGTGCCAAGATGATATCCTGGCTGGGTGTAATCGGGTCCTCCACACGGCAATCCAGTGTGTGGCATGGCCCTGCACCGATTTTTTCTGACAGTAAAAGAGAGAAGAAGAAAACCCTCGGTCTCTGGGAGGCCTGGGGAGTGTCGGGATCCGCGGACAACATCGATGTTGTGTATGTAATCTGCGGTAATATATGATCCTGAAATACATCATGTTGTAAGTATGGTGAGTAACAATACCGGGTGTGACGAAGATCGGGGGTTTCCGCAGCTCGCACAACACACGCACCAGAAGCTTCGCCCGTTAGCCTCAATTCCAACACGCAAATATACTAGGCAGCAATATAGGCTTCTCCCGTCATTGGCTCGGCTCGATAAGCTTGATACGTTCTCCGAAAGCGAGTGATTTACCTGGCCAATGGCTGCAGCATGAGGATGATCTAGTGTTAATGGCCAAGGGGCTAAGGGTGAAACAAGGCTGACAAGCTTTACTGACGAAAGAAGGAAAAGAACACCACCTTTATGGAGTAGTTCATATGTAAGACCAACTGAAACGGAGCCAAAGCCAAAGGTCTATTGGTTCCGGGCTTGCCCCAGGGAAATGAGCAATATTGACGAGCCCGTCATAATAGGGGTCCTGTCAGACCTCCGTCCTCCAGATCGACACGCCTAACGATCGGCCCCAGCCGTCATCGAGGGTCTAGGCAATAAAGCGATCGATCACTAGGGTATCGAACATCTAATTTGCTTGGCTATATGCTGAAAATGGCCCTTAGTGGTAATAGTAACCTCTTTCTTCGGTCTCACTATATGAAGTAGGGTTTGCTTAGCGCAGCCACAGGGTATCTAGTAGCTGAGGTCCTCTTCGTTGGTTACACCAATAGCCTGCCACCAAGTGGGAGGTTTTTTAGGCCCATCTGCAACCGGTCATGCAACTCCGAGTAGCTCGCGTTCTGATGACTGCAATTTCATCCTTGAGTTGACGCACACGATACTGTCTCTTTCAGTGCCAGGTCAGGGAAATAAAGGCCCCCTGAGTATGGAGAATATAATCGTAGATACTTGTCCATTCGTGAACCGCATATATGTATGTATACATATAGTATGAATTATTCGTATAGACCATGTGTACGAACATATAATATCGGGAGCTCGAGGGCAGTATAGACCGACTAATATGCCGGCGCATTGCCAAGACAAGTAACTCCCACCGTATCCCACGGCTCACTAAGAATGCCTCCTCTTCTTCGGGACACTTGTAAGCCATGAACTGACAGGACAACAATTGGTTGTCGAGAGTTTCTATTCTGAGTGACGTGCAACCCTTCTGCTGCCACATATGGGATGCGGCCGCAGCAGGTGCAGATGACATGCAGGAAGGTTGCCACGGCAATCCCGAGCTTGTCCCGACACGTTCCCAACTTCATTCATGAATTCAACTTTCTTCCTACCAGTTGAACTTCTGTTTCGCACGATGCTCACTCGGCTCAGTCTATACCTCCTGGCTCTGTTCTCTCCCGCCAGTAGCGATAGCATCCACCAAAGAACTTATTTCTACGTTGGGGGAAACTACTCGGTCACTGAGAATGGCGAGCATGTATACACTAATCAGATCTATGTCGAGAAATTGACGCCCGTACAAGTGACTCAGCCATATCCGCTTGTTTTTATACATGGCCAGGCTCAGACAGCGACAGTAGGACAGCCCAGTCTCAGTCGGCGGAATGGCACTAACAGAGCATGGACAGAACTGGTTGAACAAGCCAGACGGCCAGCCAGGATGGGCATCGTACTTCCTTGACAAGGGCTACGAATGCTACCTGTTCGATCAGCCGTTCCGCGGCCGCAGTCCCTGGCAAATCTCCAACGGTCCACTGGAGACGTACTCGGCCGAACACCTGCAGCGATACTTCACCGCGCCTGAACGGTATGGGCTGTGGCCACAAGCATCCCTGCACACCCAGTGGCCTGGAGCTGGGGTCATGCGTGATCCCATATTTGACTCCTACTACGCCTGTGCTGTGCCATTTGTCAGTGATAATGTGCTGCAGCAAACTGCCATGCGCGACGCGGGCGCCGCCCTGCTGGATCGAATTGGCCGGCCAGTTATTTTGATGGCTCATTCGCAAGGCGGGATCATGGCATGGCTACTAGCCGACCAACGGTCCGATCTGGTACACTCGATTGTCTCCATCGAGCCTGGTGGTCCACCGTTCAGCAACGCAATGTTTGGAAATACAACTGCCCGGGCATACGGGCTGACAGACATCCCCATTGCATACTCGCCGCCGGTGTTGGACCCGAGCACAGATTTCTCCACCACCATCTTGCCGTCCAACTCGTCAATCCTAGCAGACTGCATCATTCAGGCAGACGACCCCCCTGCGAGGCAACTGGTGAACCTGAGCAAGATTCCTGTGCTCTTAGTGACGACGGAAGCATCATACCATGCGCAGTATGATTGGTGCACGGTGAGGTTCTTGCAACAGGCTGGGGTACAGGCTGAACACTTGCAGTTGTCAGATATCGACATCCATGGTAATGGTCATATGGTATTTCTGGAGGAGAACAGTGATGAGGTTGCGGCTGTCATTCATCGCAGGATTGGAGAGTCCGATTACATGGATGGCAAAGCTGAGCTTTGATGTGATCTTAGCAAGAATAATGGGGCTTGCTTGCGGGAAGCGTGTTTCAGAGTAACCTTGACATATTCAGGTAGAGTGCGCTCATCTTGTCCAGACCAACCTGTTCATATTATGGCTACGAAATCAGCGACTGTTTTACCATAATTCTCTGAGCCTTTCGCACCGGTGCGCCTAAATTCATTGCCGGTGGGGTTCCTAGAGAATTAGTACCTGGGGCATAAAGACAGTGCGACGCATGGGCCTCTCTCAACGTCAACGTCCACGTAAGCAAAGCTGTGGGCGTTAGAGAAGGAATCGACCTGTCAATAACTTGCTGCAGGTTAATGATCCTACTGAAATAAACTGAGATAAAAGCCGGGCTTCATTACTAGTTATCAATATGCAGCGATAGTACAGTATGATGCTCCCCTGCTAATACGTCCAGAGCGCCAATCTGGCAGCACGATTGCGTTGCATTGAGTTCTAACGATTGATTAATGTACATATAGACTCACAGCAACATATCTCTTAGCCAAGAGTCATGGTGCTGAAATGCGACCGTAGGAAATGTTCTCCCCCAAGCAACCCCGGCTAAGGGCATCGGGGAGGACGGCTGCCAGTATTGCCTTTTTGGGCAGAAATCCCCACTCCCCGCCTCCCCGCGAAGCGGAGAAACGGAGTAACAGCCTCTCCCCTATTTGGACATCGGGGTTCGCACAACAAAGAACTCAAGTCTGACAGTATAAGCCAGAGGGAGACCCAAGATAAACCTTTCCAGCAGCACATATTAATCGTTCTCAATGGCATCCACCACTGCGTGCGAATCCATCTCGCTCACCGAACCGGGAGAGCGACCAATCCCGATGGTGCCAGAAGAACCAAACAATGATTCTTCCGTTACCGAGGCTAAAGTCCCTTACCTGAAGCTCATCGCATCGGGCTTCTCCTTTTTCGTCGCTGGTGTCAACGACGGCAGTCTAGGCTCCTTGCTTCCCTACGTGCTCGAGACGTATCGCGTTAGTACCGGTCTGGTAATTGTTGTGTAGGTCCGCCCGAAGCATAAACCCACCCACCTACAGTTAATGATAGTTATGCTAGTTATGTTACAACTCTCGTGGGCTGGTTGGTGGCCGCCCTAACCAATAGCACCGCCTGTCAATACCTTGGATTAGGTTCTATGCTCGCTCTGGGGGCTACGCTTCAGGTGCTAGCCCATGTCCTGCGTGCCTGGCTTCCGCCGTTCCCATTGTATGCTATAACCTTCTTCCTAGCTAGTCTAGGACAAGCATTCAATGATACCCATGCCAATACATATGTCGCTGCGGTCAAGGCCGCCCACCGATGGCTCGGCTTTATCCATGCCATGTACATGGCTGGGTGTCTCGTCGGGCCATTGGTGGCTACCGCTGTGGCGGCTGCTAATAGGCAATCACAGTGGAATTTATTCTATGTCTTTCCACTTGGTTTGGGGTTAGTCAACCTGATCCTGGTATTGATAGCCTTCCGCGATAGCATGTCCGTCCATCATTCATCAGAAGCCGTTCAAAGCGACGACCCGCGGGCTTCGGGTCAGAACAGTCGCGGTACCCGTGCCGTAAGGGAGATCAAGGATACACTTCGTGTACCAGCTGTCTGGTTGACAAGTCTCTATTTTTTCTTTTTCCTGGGAGCGGCCATCACGGCCGGTGGTAAGTCAACCCATATTCGGTCGAGTGAACAAGAGACTCACTGTGGTTAGGATGGATTGTCGAGTACCTTGTTCGCGTTCGGCATGGTGATGTGCACCAGATGGGTTATATCCCGACGGGGTTCTATGGCGGAGCTTTTCTTGGTCGACTAGTTTTAGCCGAACCGACTTATCGTCTAGGAGAGCGTCGCATGATATTCATATACGCTGCCCTGTGTGCTGGGTTAGAGCTGGTGTTCTGGCTGTTAGTTCGTCCAGTGTTACTCTCCACATCTTCATTATCTGACACATACTATAGTGTGCCCAATATAGGCGTTGAGGCCATGGCCATTTGCTTGTTGGGCTTCTTCTCGGGGCCCTTCTTCGCAACAGTGAGTTCTGTTCCATTCTACAATAGCATTCACCATCTAACATCGCACACAGGGAATATCGGTCGCATCTAGAATCTTTCCGGCTAACATTCGTTCCTCCGGGATTGGTACGTGGATTCCATGGTAATCCAACAAGCAACGTGTTAACTCTATGTATCCAGCATTCGTCTTTGTGCTGGGGCAGATTGGAGGATCGCTCTTCCCCGTATTGACGGGCATCATCTCTTCCCACACCGGCGTCAAGGCCCTGCAGCCCATGTTATTGGCTCTACTGTGCGCTACGGGGATCAGCTGGCTACTGGTGCCTACTAAGGCGCCGAGACTGCGTGAAGATTGATCTACTAACCAACAAGTAACTGTGGTTACTGGCTACAATTGACATCTATCAGTTGCTTCTACGCTGTATGTGATCTTTGTGTTGTTTGGATATGACGCGACGGCATTAATGATTGGGTATTGGATGAGAAAGGACATGTCAAACAGACTAGTATGTTGTTAATATCTCAAGAACGCACCCAGCTAAAGAGAGAAAGAGTAGGTATCGGCAGAGCTGCTTGAATGGGAAGGTTCGGCGATCGCCTGTTTGTGAACTTCAAGCGATAGAGTATGAGTGGGGGACTAAGTTCCCCCTACGAACCATTCGAAAGGGGCACTGTCTTATAATTGTATCCAATGGCACTTTGCAAAGCATGCGTGCGTACTCGAAAAGCTAAACCAGAAAGCGCAGCGTAGTCGCAGGGACTCAGTAGGTATAAGGATGGGAAATGGCTACCGGGCTAAGGATATAGAGAGGGTCGATAGATACCGATGAAGGAAGCTTTCGTAAGCAGGAGTGATCTACAAGGGGCCTGCACGCGAACAAACCCGGCAAATATACCCGTTTCAGTACATCTTTTCCTGAACGATTTTTGCACATGACGAGAAGAGGGGTAGAAGATGGTGCTCTCCCACCAGATCAACGACGGGTTTGGGAGAGAAAGCATCAACGCTCACGGCACCTTAAGGAAACAGACTATCACTACAAAATTGAAACTGATCCATCAGCACCATGGAGGTGAGCCTATTTCTCTACTGTCACAATATGCCAAACTGATGCGCGGGGTAGAACCCCTCATTTGTCCTGCGCGACATCAAAGACGTCGTCATTGAAGACCGGCCCAAACCCATCCTCAAAGACCCTCACGATGTGATTGTCCATGTGGCACAGACAGGTATTTGTGGAAGTGATGTATGGCTTTTTTCGCTCCTTGATCCTCACAATTAGTGGTCTATATTGTTCCAGGTTAACGTATCGCCCAGGTTCACTAGTATGGATCCTCTCCTGTATCCTATCATGGACAGAGTCTTTGACATAAGTTCAGCTGGCAACGCGGTCGCATCGGTGATTTCATCCTTACCGGACCCATGGTCCTCGGCCACGAATCCTCCGGCGTAGTTGTCGAAGTCGGTGACAAAGTCCGACACCTCAGACCGGGCGATCGCGTCGCCATGGAACCCGGCGTACCCTGTCGTCGTTGCGACTACTGCCGCAGTGGGTCGTATAACCTCTGCGGCGACACCATCTTTGCGGCGACCCCGCCTTGGGATGGCACACTGGCCAAATACTACGTCAACGCCGCCGACTATTGCTACAAGGTGCCAGACCACATGACTCTCGAGGAAGCAGCCATGGCTGAGCCTGTATCGGTCGCCGTGGCCATCACCAAGACAGCTAACCTGCAAGCCCATCAGACTGTCTTGGTTCTGGGCTGTGGTCCGATCGGCGTACTCTGTCAGGCCGTGGCCAAGGCCGCTGGAGCAAAGACCGTCATCGGAGTGGATGTGGTTCCATCCCGACTGGAAGTCGCCAAGTCGTACGGCGTCGATCACACATTCATGCCCTCGCGGGCCGAGCCAGGCACAGACCCCATGGTGCACGCGGAGCGGGTGGCTACACAGCTGAGGGAGGAGCTGGGACTGGGAGAAGGCGCCGACGTGGTGCTGGAGTGCTCTGGTGCTGAGCCGTGTGTCCAGTTGGGTATCTATGCCGCCCGCCGGGGAGCTACGTTCGTGCAGGCCGGTATGGGCAAGGAGAACATCACGTTCCCCATTACGGCGGTGTGCACGCGTGGGTTGACCATCAAGGGATCGATCCGCTATCTGACCGGATGCTACCCGGCGGCTATTGATCTGATTGCCAAGGGCAAGATTGATGTGAAGCGGTTGATCACGAACCGGTTCCCGTTCGAGAAGGCCGAGGAAGCGTTTGAGTTGGTCAAGGCGGGACGGTCGGATGTGTTCAAGGTCATGATTGCGGGTGTGCAGGAGTAATTTGTAAATACACATAGCGTACGTCGGGTTTGTTTGTTGACAGTCAATGTGGTTTAGTGTGGAAGGGGATTCCTATACTACCACGGGACAAGTTTGGGAGGATTCTGGCCGTTGAGATGCGCACGACTTCTAGGAATGAAAAAGATTACCAGAAACTGAAAATTACTTTCGCTAGAACAGGCTAGTACGTAAGCCGGTATATATGAAAAGTGTAATGTACACAGGCTGTCAAGTTGCACTATGTCACTGTATATAATCTTACATGTATAGTAGGAGGTTCACATCAGAGGTCGATCACACAAGTGCAGGTGAGCATTCAAAGGATCACCCTTCAGGAAAACGGACATCCATCGCTCCCGGCACTGCCAACAACGCTCATGGTAGTGGTAGCCGTTACGAAGCTGACATCCTGAGTGCTGGCATGAGACGCCGTTTCCGTTTCATACAATGCTGCCGTCGGCGTGGGAACCTTGTTCAAGGTCACAGGGTGGGAATAGTCTGAGCACCAACCAATAGTCTTAGGCACGATTCCTGGCTTGACAGATCTGGAGGAGGCAGGAGCAGGAGTGGATGAAGGAGCCGGGAGATGGGAGGAGTGGTCATGAAGCAGATGGTGATCATGGTGATGATTGTGGTGGAACAAAGCAGAGCTGGACGCGGTAGGGCTCACCGTGACATAAACGGTAGATGCTGCAGGGCAGGTAGACGTAGCAGACGTTCCGGGGGCCGTGACGCTAGTATCAGTGCAGTCGGTCGCGTTGGCCGCTTCGGAGACGAAGAATTTCTCGGACTGAGCATAAATGATGTAGACGTTGGTGCCGTTGATCCCGCTGATCTGGTAGCCCCACTCGGGATCGGTGTCGCAGGGGATTTGCACGGGGTATGACAGGTCGGAGGTCGGAATGTCAAGCGCCAAGGGGACATAGGAGGGTGGCCAGTAGACGAAATTCCAGAGATAGAGGCTGAAGGTGGAGGGATCGGTATCAACGGTGGTCCAGTTGACGGTGATGGTGGAACCGGCGGCGTAGGTTGAGTTGAGGGCCGGCTCAGTGATGCTGATGGCCGCAGCCAGGGAGCTGAGGGTGAGGAAGGGAATGACGAAACGCATGGTCGCGGAGTAGAATTTGACTCAATTGAAGGAGAGAGTGAGAACAAGAACTGAATATCAAATGAATGAATGAATGCTATAGGCGACCAACGAGTGACGAGTGACTGAAGGGGTCAGAAGGGCGCGCGACGCAAGGGGAAAAACCGTTGGCCCCCATGGCAGGATACTGGGCAGATGCGAAGATATAAGCAGCCTCCGCTTGTGCTTTTCTCCGGAAATTGGAGGCTGTACTCGTGTCACTTTCAAGATTATGCTAAATTTAAAATCAAGCCACGCGTTCCCAACTATCGAGCCACTAAGGAAGGATGCCATCGGCCATTGGCTCTGTTTAAGACATCCGAGTGGAGCGGCGTGCTCGGGCCCGCCGACTGGAAAATCAAAACCGTTCCAAACAGGCATCCATCTACACTATTACTTGCTCGGCTTCATTTTAGAAGTTAGACAGAACCCTATCTGGAATTGTTCGCATGTGATCCGAGAAAATCATGTTCTTCCGATCCCTCATATTATATTGGTGGCGCTTCCTTCCATAGTCTCTCTTGCTATCACCGATTCAATATATATTCATATATTGTTATCACTGTTAAAGATATGACCGGTTGGGAAATATATATTACTACACCGATAATGCAAATTAATGCCATCTATCGAGAAGATGCTGGTATTTGGGTTGTCGACCACTCTCTTCTTTCTCCTTGGCTGTTATGTAGGTCGTAGCATGCGATAATCTCAATTTACCGTTCTCCGGCGTAGTTCCGTGAACTGGGAGCAGGCTTTTAACCGGCGATAGCCTCACCCTCTCTTCCAAATGGCGGCCAATCATTGTAATTCTCATTGGGATCCTGGAATGGTCCATAGTTCACTTTACCACCGCGAGTGTTCGAGGCAAGAGGAACACCTTGCTTAATCCGGCTTATGAGATCCTAGATTGCTCCATGTCAGCTAGTACCAAAGCTCACGAACGCTATTGTCAACCCACCGGATTGTAGATAAATGGCCGTGCAAATGTCACGAGGTCAATCTTCTCTTTTTGCAATAGACTTTTTGCCTCTTCTACCGTGTACTCGTGGTTCACCATGAGCATAGTGCGACTTCCAGGATACTTGATGAGAGCGCCAAAGTCCCTCAGAGGCTCATACTTTGGAGGCAATTCTTTCCCCTGAGGCCTGGGTTGGGACCTGAAGTAGTCATCGGTTTCCCGCCCCACATCACAGCCTCGACGCGATAAGTTGATAAAAGCGAGATTGCGACGCATTAACTCCTCGATGAAGTATGTGTAGGTTTCTCTCATTTCTTTGTATGAGATCATGGTGTCATTATAGTCATCTGTAGGGCAGATCTTGATCCCAACTGCTCGAGGCCCCCAGACCTCAATGATGGCATCGAGTACTTCGAGCGGGAAACGGCAGCGATTTTCGACAGAACCACCGTATTGGTCACTGCGTGTATTTGAGTGTCTAGATAACAGTTAAGCTCGTGAAGCATGCATTATGTAGAGGGATATCGCTTACGAGCACAGGAAGTTGTGTAGAAGATACCCGCTAGCCAGCCGCAGTGTCAGTTTCGATGGCCGTATCCACGAAGGGTTGCCTTTCTTGCGTACTTACCCTTGAGCTAGTAGCTCAATTCCATCAAATCCAGCAGACTTGGCCAAGCTGACAGAGTGCCGATATTGTTCAACAATGACTCTCGGGTCATCGATTTCGGTGATGTTATGAGTGTGGCCTGGAAGTCCCTCCAATGTACGATATTTTCCGCCCTTGGCAGGTATCTTGGATGGTGCATATACTGGATATCCTGATTCTTTCAACATCGGCATATTGTCATTCTGGATGCGTCCTGCATTCCAGTAGTACGTTACAGTGAGTAATCTTACCCTCTCCGATCAGGATATCGATGATAAGCAGGGCTCGACTCACCTGGATGCCATGGCTGGAAGAGAATCTTTCCCCCGACCTTGTGCACCTCGCTGGTCACCTTGGCCCAAGCATCTGCATGGCCTTGGTTGTACATTACAGGCGCGTGGGGCCATTCGGCACCATTCAAGCAGATAAAGGTGCCCTCTGCGACGATAAGTCCGGTGCCGTCTCGCGCTCGGTCGGTGTAATGCTTGATGTTCGCCTGGGTCGGCTTGTTTCCATCGGTGCATCGATTTCGCGTCATGGACCCCATGCAAATACGATTGCGCAATTGAATTCCATCCCCGAGAATGACTGGCTCGAGAAGCTCTGCCATTGTAATGCTCTCGACGATTAGCGAATGACTGCAGGACAGGGTAGCTTGATGAGAAGAGTAACCTGAAAGATGCCAGATGCACATGCTTATTTATATCCGCATTCTGTCTAGAATGAGGTCGCGCCACTCTGTTTCTTAGGTAAAATTTGCTTGCTTGGAAGGCGATGATCGCGGAAAATGAATTCAGTCCGCATCTTGCAGGCTCACTCTCGCGTATATATCATCATGGTTATCAGCCGAGACCACATAGGAGGTACATGACATCATTTCAATAACTCCCCTGTACTGATTCATTACTACTCTTCCTATATTTCACAAAAATGTCATCATGGTGGACATTGCACTGTGGAACATGAGAGTGTCTAGATGATAGTCCTCGGATGACTTTCCCGAGCGGGTAACTGGTTATCGATGGCCTGAGGCTGCTATCGCGGCCTCCTTTGCCGAATCACCGAACCAAAGATTCACCCAGTTTTGAAACCATCCTCATCATGTCATGGTCCTCGTGGTTACTCAAAGAACATCGTCCTATCAAATGAATGGCTTTCCCGGTGCGAACTTAAAATGACACCTCTTCCTACAAGCATGTCCCCTCCGCCCCTCTGCCATGGAGTCGCCCACGTGAAAGGAACGGCTTCTGGAAGGCTGATTGCCAGCCACGTGGAGTTGAGTTTCTGGGGTGGCGTCGACCCTCAAACAGGCCGGGTGATTGACCAACACCACCCCTTAAATGGCCATTCTCTGGAAGGTCGCATTCTCGCCATTCCAAGTGGCCGTGGGTCCTGCTCAGGCAGCGGGGTGATGCTTGAACTCCTACTCAACAACCGCGGACCCAAGGCAATACTGTTTGAGCGCCGCGAGGAGATCCTCACCCTGGGGGTAATGGTCGCGGAGGAGATGTTCGGCAGGGCAATCCCAGTGATAACACTGGATGCAGACGACTTTCAAAGGGTGTTGGAACTGCATGATACTTACATCACGGTCGGTGATGGTTACATCTTCGACAATGAGTTACCCGGGACATTGCATGAACTGCCTGACTGTCACTCCAAAATACCATTGGCGCTGACCACAAAGGTGCAACTGTCCGATGTGGATAAAGCATTGATTCAGGGCGAATATGGAGAAGCTGCTCGCGTGGCCATGCGGATCGTTTTGCGAATGTCCGAGTTACTAGAGGCTCGCGAATTGATCTCCGTCACCCAGGTTCACGTCGATGGCTGTATCTATACCGGACCAGGATCGCTAATGTTTGCAGAGAGGCTGCGCGATCTAGGAGGTCAGGTCCTTGTTCCGACCACCCTGAACTCTATCTCTGTCGACCAGAAGCGGTGGCGCGTCCAAGGCGTAGATGTGGCGTTTGGGGAAGCGGCCGACCGGTTGGCCAAAGCGTATATTGACATGGGTGCGCGGCCAACTTTCACATGCAGCCCCTACCAGCTGAACAGCGCCCCTAAACTCGGAGATCAAATTGCTTGGGCAGAATCCAATGCCGTGGTGTATGCCAACAGTGTGCTTGGGGCGCGTACTATGAAGTATCCCGACTTTCTCGATATCGCCATTGCTCTCACTGGCCGCGCCCCTAAAGGAGGACCGCATATTGATACGAACCGCCAAGCTACACTGATTGTTCGATTACTAGACACCGAGAACTTGCATGTCGACGACTCCTTCTATCCTGTCCTCGGGTATCACGTAGGGACCCTGGCAACCAATCAGATCCCGGTGATCGTGGGCCTTGAATCCCTGGCCCCGAATCGAGATGACCTCAAGGCGTTTGGGGCCGCATTTGCGACTGTCTCAAGTGCCCCGATGTTCCACATAGCTGGTATTACACCGGAGGCAAAGACCATAGAAGCCACCATCCGACCTGGAACCCACCCACCTTGTCTTGATGTGAAGATGGAGGACCTGATACCCTGTTGGGACACACTGAACACTGCATCAGACGCCCAAGCCGTGGACCTCATTTCTCTTGGTAACCCACACTTCTCGCTGATAGAAACCCGACGATTGGCTACCCTATGCCAGGGGCGTACTAAATGCGAGGGGTTGGCGGTGATGGTAACCTGTAGTCGTGCAACATACGGCTTGGCTGATCAAGCCGGGCTTGTCCAGGAGCTGGAGAAGTTTGGTGTCCAATTCATCACTGATACCTGCTGGTGCATGATTACAGAACCCATCATCCCGCAGTCTTCCAACGCCATCATGACCAACTCTGGAAAATATGCTCATTATGGCCCTGGACTCACAGGGCGGAAGTTCTACCTGGGCAGCCTGGCCCGGTGCGTTGAGACTGCCTGCCAGGGGCGGCCAGCTGACCATTACCCGTCCTGGATGACGAAGAAGATATGATTCCATAAACCTTGCTGACATGCTGACCATGCACAACGCATCTCTCAACGTCTGAACCCTGGCTTCGTCTGTGGTGCCTGAGGCATCAACCCTTCGGTCGGCGACAGGCACCTGACCCACTCGGGTGAAGGTACCCGGAGTGGATGGAATGGGAATTCTTCCGGTTTCTGGTGGTGCAATAAATTAATTGTCTCTCGAAGAAGATATTTCTTCAAACAACGCCATGGCTCCGACCGGAGCGGATCCTGTTGCCGGAAGGAGACCCCGACTCCTTGGCTGATAAGAGAGGCGACCGGCTGGAGGGGACTATCCATCACCGTCCCGTTCCAACCCCGCCTGGTGATTTCTTCAGAGTATAAATTAGTACTGAGTTCCCACTGACTCTCTGTCCAAAGTCACATCATTCGTCTTTCACCATCAACATTCGAGTTACTTTTCAACCATGTCGCAACTCTCCAACTACCGTCTCCTCAGCTTCGACGTCTATGGCACTCTGGTCGACTGGGAAGGTGGCATCCTGGCCGCCTTCCAGCCCAGCCTCGACAAAGCCAACGCCCACTTCACCCGTGAACACCTCCTCACTGTCTACCATGACTTGGAGCGCGCGCAACAAGCACAGACGCCTGACATGCCGTACTCGGAACTCCTCGCAACCATCCACCCTCAGTGGACCGAGCGCCTCGGGCTGCCTCAACCGTCAGAAGAGGAAAGCCGCCAGTTTGGAGAATCCATCGGCAATTGGCCCGCCTTCCCGGACACCGTCGATGCATTAAAGCGACTAGCCCAGAAATACAAGCTGGTGGTGCTGTCCAACGTCGATCGCGCTTCCTTTGCCAGAACCAATGCTGGTAGCTTGCAGGGCTTCCCCTTTGATCTCATCATCACTGCTCAAGATGTGGGCTCTTACAAGCCGGATCTCCGGAATTTCGAATACCTGCTCAAGGCAGTCAAGGAGCAATTCGACATCGAGCCGGCACAGGTGCTGCAGACTGCACAGAGCCAATTCCATGACCACCACCCGGCACGCAAGATGGGGTTAAAGTCCGCGTGGATTGAGCGACCCGGGGCAACAATGGGGAATCTGTCGGAGACGTTCTATGACTGGCGGTTTGATACCCTGGGGGAAATGGCTGATGCGGTTGACAAGGGATTGTAGACTAGCGAGTTCGCCGTGTTTGATGTTCAAGGATATTTGCTGGACTTTATAGTAGAGCGAAATAGGATTTTCCAATGAGCATCATGTCCACAAACTCTCAGCAAGACAGCATGCACAAAGCGTGTTCTTGTACCAGCAAAGCCTGATAACCGGCTAAGTGGCGCCTATGAACCGGGCCGCATCCCCACCCCACGCCGGTCTCGGGATGCCAGCCGAAGCCAATCATTACTTATTGCCCATGTATCCCTCCAGTTGCAGTGGTCCTATTCCTCACAAGTTGGCCTGACACTAAAATCTGGAATTCCCACTATGGATCTAGCCCACACTCTGGAGTCCGCCTCCAGCGGCGATGTCATCAAATGCATCGACATGCACACAACCGGCGAGCCCACCCGCATCGTCTACGCGGGGTTTCCTCCTCTCACCGGATCACTGCTCTCCCAGCGCGACCAAGCCCGGGTTCAGTATGACCACCTCCGCAAGCGAATCATGCTCGAGCCTCGTGGTCACTACGACATGTACGGCGCCATTCTCCGACCATCCACCGAACTGACCGAATCTGGTGAAGCCCACATCGGTGTTCTGTTCACCCACAACGGCGGCTTTTCCACCATGTGTGGCCACGCAACCATCGCACTGGGCCGCTTTCTCGTCGATACGTATGATGTGGCTGTTTTTCCGAAGCGAAATCAGTTGGTTGTAGACGCTGCGTCGCAAACAGTTGTCGTTAACTTGCATGCGCCGTGTGGATTAGTTCGTATCACCGTCCCGGTCAAGGACACGACCGATGGGTTAAAGTCCGATCCGTCGCGCGCGGTCTCGTTCTTGTCAACCCCAGGCTATGCTGCTGCGACCAATCTTACTATTTCTATTCCACCAGAGAATCGATGGAGCGAGCTTGAAAGGCGTGAGAGCATCACCCTTGATGTTAGTTATGGAGGGGCATTCTACGCGTTAATCAATATACACGAGCTGGGATACGAATCCACGGGACTGAGAAAGGTCGATCTTGATTCACTATCGCAGGTGACGAAAAGACTAAAAGCGTATCTTGAAACCCATCCCGATATTCTGTCCGCCTGTCAGCACCCAGAAGACAAGAGACTGTCATACCTATACTCCATCATGCTGGTGGACACGAATGTCGGGCACAGGCCAGACGGTGTAGCTGGAGCCGAGACTGGACTGTGCTTTTTCGCCGAAAATCAGATTGATCGGTCGCCGACAGGCTCATGTGTCACGGCTCGCATGGCGCTGGCGCATGCGAAGGGCGAGAGAGCGGTTGGTCAGCGGTGGGCTTACAACTCAATTGTCTCCAATCACTTTCGGACGGGCGCATTTGAGGCTGAGATTGTAGAGACGGGATTGCGGGTGGAGGGTGGAAATGCTCCGGCCAAGGATGCGGTGGTGGTGCGCGTGGAGGGGAGGGCATACTACACGGGCACGTCGAGTTTTATGGTCGAAGAGGGAGATGTTACGAGTCATAGTGGGTTTGTGATGAATGATATGACAGTGTAGCTTTTGAAGCGAATATGAGGGAATGTGACCTAAATGTTGACCAGTATGGGCTGGATGTCAGCTTAATATCATCTATACACATGGATGGCAGGTTTCCTGGAAATTGGCATTCAATAACAGTCAGAACTTAAATCAATGTAAACATTGAGTGAACCTCTGGGACAGCTTTCATCGACAGCTTAGAGTAATCCCATTTTCAAAGTACCCTGGCGGCATTGCTCTGTCTTGTGGACGGGACCAGGATCAGCAAACCCTTGACCGTCAGGGCGTATCAAGACTGTTTCTCATCTGCCATTCATGAACGACGTGTTATATACCTCGGGTCGAATTGGCAAACACCTCGTCGTATCAGACCAACTGTCTAAGGAGCAGTAGGGGGGATTTACAGTGAGCACTGTTGCAAACAAAGTTATTTAATTTAAAAAATTGCCAACGTAAGGCTGTGGGAGTTTTCCCCCCAGCCTTGTAAGTGCGGCTGAGCTGCGCCCCCACGGCTTCCCCCCACCCTACCTACCCCAGTCGCTTTTTCTTCACCTTACCACAGATCTCGTCGTTCATACCATTTTCCTTTCGAGAAGTCCACCATTCATCACTGTACGCTAACTCCTGTTTTCTTATATTTGAGCATCGAAGCGTCGCGACGTCACCCTGAATACCACATCAGCTCCCCGGTTCCAGGTTCAGAATGCGCTCGAAGGCACGAATGGACCTTTGTTATGGAAAACCCACAGACCGACCCCAATATGTCGTCGAGGCAGGATGGCTTTAGCGAGGACAACAAACTTGCTACCAACAAGGCACTGACCTCCAGTGTCGACGACAATCCTCGTGCAACAAAACTAGAACACAACAGTTACACAGTCGGGTGGGTATGTGCGCTGCCAAAGGAGCAGACGGCTGCGACAGCAATGCTAGATGAAATCCATCCACATCTACCAAAACCACCAAGCGACCCTAATACTTACACCTTGGGGTGCATCGGAAGGCACAACATCGTTATAGCCTGCTTACCGAAAGGCCAGTACGGCACGAATTCAGCATCGGCGGTTGCAACTCGGATGGTAGGCACTTTCACATCCATTAAGATTGGCCTCCTGGTAGGTATTGGCGGCGGCGTTCCACCAGAGGTCAGACTAGGGGACGCCGTGGTCGGTACGCCCGTTGATCAGTGTTCAGGGGTGGTCCAGTGGGATCTGGGCAAGGCAGAAGCAGAGGGTGGCTTCAAAAGAACCGGCGTACTGAATAACCCCCCGACGGCACTGCTGACGGCATTGACGAAACTGGAAACGATGCATGAGATGAGCGGACCCAAGATTTATCAGTATTTGGATGACATGGGGCAGAAATGGCCTAGACTGATGCCAAAGTATACCAGATGTGATTCTCTCGTGGATCCTTTGTCCGGTTCCGACAATTGCGCTAGAGAAAGCCAACACGGAGAAGGACATGTGCACTACGGGTTAATAGCGTCTGGTAATCAGGTTATCAAGGACGCTCATTTCCGTGATAGTCTAAACAAGAGCCTCGGCGGGAATGTGTTGTGTGTTGAAATGGAAGCAGCTGGGTTGATGAACAACTTTCCTTGTGTTGTGATCCGGGGCATTTGCGATTATGCGGACTCAGATAAGACTAAAGCTTGGCAGGAGTATGCTGCAGCTGTTGCAGCGGCGTATGCTAAGGAGCTTCTGGAGTATGTCCAGCCAAGTGATGTTGATGGGGAGCGCCCAGTGAAAGACATGCTTGACGATGGTTAGTTATCCCATGACCACGTTTCCCGTTCAGAGCTGTTTTCTAATAAGCCCCTTAGTCTTGGATTGTGTAACAAGAACCCAGACCGACGTTGAACTAATAAAGTCGAACCTCGATAGAAAAGAAGAACTCGAAGTCCTTGAATGGCTTACACCGATCGACTACGGTCCTCAACACAGTGACATCTTGAAGAGACGACAATCAGGAACTGCGCAGTGGTTCTTAGACTCTGCAATATACCAGGCATGGATAAGCTCAAACAAGCAGACGTTATTCTGTCCCGGTATTCCCGGCGCAGGAAAAACAATCTTAACGGCAGCCGTCATTGATGACATTACTGCCCGATTTCTACATGACAGATCTATTGGAATTGCGTATGTCTACTGTGACTTCCGCCGGCGAAACGAGCAAAGCGCGGAAGACTTAATAACAAGTCTCCTTAAGCAGTTAAGTCAATGCCGGCCTTCCCTCCCAGACATTGTGCGCAGCCTCTATGACCGGCATAGACATAGACGGACCCGACCAGAATTCGACGAAATTTCAACGACACTCCGATCTGTGGGTGCTATGTACTCGAGAGTCTTTATTATAATCAATGCGCTCGATGAATGTCAGGCATCTGATGACTGTCGAATGAGGTTTATCAAGGAAATACTGAATTTCCAGGCAACTTGCGGAGGAAATACTTTTGCCACTTCAAGATTCATTCCGCAGATCACTGAGAGATTTAACAACTGCATGACACTGGAAATCCGTGCACATGATCAAGATGTTCAGGAATATTTAAGAAGTAGGATATTGCAATGTGAATCGAGGCTGTTAGCCTCCCACAGCGAAGAGATTCAAACTGAAATCACGAAAGCTGTCGATGGAATGTCAGTAACTTCTCCTCTCTGGGTAAGACTGAACAACCTAACATTTATCTAGGTTTCTGCTAGCACAGCTTCACTTCGACGCGGTGAAATCGAAAAAAACTACGAAAAGAGTAAAAGAGGCTCTGAAAGGCCTTGCAAAGGGGTCTGAAGCATACAATGATGCATACGAAGATGTGATGCAGCGAATTGAAGGGCAGGACAAGGATTCCCGGAAGCTTGCACACGATGCGCTATCGTGGATCAACAGTGCAACGAGGCCGCTCAATACATTAGAGCTTCAACATGCACTTGCTGTAGAAGCGGAGTCAGAATTCGACAGAGACAACATTCCATTTCTGGATGACATCATCTCTGTCTGTGCAGGCTTGGTCACAGTTGATGAAGAGAGTGATGTCATTCGATTGGTACATTATACAGCACAAGAATTCTTCCAACGAACGTGGACCATGTGGTTCTCAAACGCACATCATGGCATTGCGACAGCTTGTGTCACATACCTCTCTTTCGACCCCTTCAAAGCAGGCCCCTGTTCCACAGACATGGATTTTGAAGCGCGATTAGACACATACCCCCTTTTCTCCTATGCAGCGAGGAACTGGGGTCATCATGTTCGGACACAACAAACGGGAATAGGCTTGATATTAGCCCTGCTTGAAGATACACCCAGGCTTAATGCCTGTGTGCAAGGCCTTTTTGCTCGCAAAGAATTTCCAACTCACTGGAATTATAGCCAAGAGGTTCCCAAATTGTTTACAGGACTCCATCTTGCATCATACTTTGGGCTAGAAAATGTGGTGCTATACATGATTCAGCAGGGGAAACAGTCTGAAGCCATCGACTCGTTTGGTCGACTCCCATTGACATGGGCAGCCTTTAATGGGTACGTGGGAGTAGCTCAACACCTGCTGGAGAGAAGTATCAAGTCAGATTCAGGAGATAATGATGGTCGAACCCCACTAGCGTGGGCAGCATGCAATGGGCATGAGCGAGTGGTCAAACTTCTGGCTGAGAAAGGTCTTGACCTAGGCTCGAGAGATACCTTCGGCCGTACTCCACTATCATTAGCCGCCTCGAATGGTTTTGTGGGAGTGGTGAAGCTCCTAGCGGAGATTGGTTCAGATTTAGATTCTAGAGACGCAGATGATCGAACGCCTCTATCATGGGCCGCATACAAAGGTCATATAACAATTGTGCAATTGTTGCTGGAAGGTGGTGTTGATCCAGACTCCAAGGATGTGGATGGTCGAACCCCTCTTTCGTGGGCGGCCTACAACGGCTGCGAGGCAGTGGTACAGATCCTGCTAGTACACTCTGTTGATCCAGACTCCAAAGACGAGATTGGGCGGACTCCTTTATCGTGGGCGGCAGATAATGGTCACGAGAGAGTGGTCAAGCTCCTATTGAAGAAGGGCGTTGAAGTATCCTCACTCGATCAAACAGGTCGAACACCGCTCGACTGGGCATCATATTACGGTCATAAGACAGTAGTCGAACTCCTTGTGAGCAGAATTCCTCATAGACAACCACGCGCCCCTAGTGCTACCGGTGGAGCGGCTGTGAAACAGGGTGATTTTCAGAACAACGAACCTCGAAACCCAGGTTCCCGTGCCCACGCTCCACGCGCCACATGGTCAGATGGCCATGAAATTCGAGGTCAAGACAAGCAGAAGCAACAACTTGGGGAGCCGAGCTCGGAAAGTGCCGGGATTACTCCAACAAATGGTGACAGTCAAAGACGGCCACTGTCGCCGGAAAACGCCTCGCCTCAGACTGTGCCCTCCCTCCACTCTAAGTGGTATTGCCGGTTATGTCCTGGGAAAGGCCGCGTGTGGATAAGCAGAGCAGAGCTCCTGGGACATGTCCATGTCACTCACGCCGTTCAGTTCCATTATTATTGCACTGACCCTGATTGCCCTGATGCTATTGCACGCAACCCCATTGCCAAGAGACGTGACCAAGTTCGGTATCATTATACCACGAAACATGGAAGGTGGGCAAGCAAACAGGAAATAGACCAATCCCGACAAGAAGAGCCTCATCCTCGTTTCTGTCTAATTTGCGATACATCCGTTCACTCGTGGCAGGAGTTCTACAACTGTGTCGTTCGCCATTGTAAGGTTCGGTGCTCCTCGATTGACAGCGATGAACAGAGTGCCTCTGGCTCACGAAAGAGAAGGAAAATCAACGATGAGCTTGGCGGGTCACTCACTGCCCCAAAAATGACATGTGACGAACATGCACTGCAAGATCTTAAAATGCAGCTGATGCTGCTCGAGCAGCAAAAGAAACGTCTATCTAGAGAAACGTAATATTAGATGTACGCCAGTGACTCAGTGACTGGAGGGACTAGTGCATGAACCCTAAATATGTTTTTCTATATCAAAACGCGTAAGCAATTATTGTCGTAGATAACTATTGCCAGCTCGAGGTATGACCATCGATTTTTGGTTGAGAAAGAAGAGAGGATGAGCTGTAGCCCGTTGTCATGAGCACAACAGACTGGTGTGGATGTGGATCCTACGCACTGACCCGCTGACTAGGAGAGCCAGTTAAAGCCCCGTATAGCCGGGCAGTTTTGAGGCATATTGATTAGTAATATGGCTGGATACCAGCTAGACTAGTACTTCGATCGGGGCTTGAAGGCACTTTCAACCCAGCATTAAGATTCCTTTTGACTAGAAAGGAGAGATCTCAGAATGCCCTCCATCAAAGTCTTCACTCGTTGGCGCCCTCCGCTGCCATCGGAAGCGGCTGCCCCTGAAATCATCCGAACACAGGCCTCCAATCCCGGGCAAAACACCACGATCGCATTAACACCACCACCATCCCAGAAACTCTCTCGCCCCTGGAAAAGCGATTCAGCTTTTACCCAAATATTCAACGCAGATGACTCTAATCGAACTGTCTTTGAACATGTCGTTGCACCAACCCTCCCCCGGGTGTTAACCGGGCAAAACTGCAACTTCTTCGCCTACGGACACTCAGGCAGTGGGAAATCCCACACCATCATCGGGTATGATTTTGAGCGGCCAGATGAGTTCGGGCTCTGTTTGTCAGCCGCAAAAGCACTCTACGAGCATCTATACCAACTAAATGAGAATGTCAAGGAGACCGGGACGCTTCTCCTAGGCCTCCGCATGTACGAGCTGCGGAAAAACATTGCCTTTGACCTGCTCAACGACCGATGCAAGTGCCATATCCGCGAAGGCGCTGACGGGAAGACCCACGTTCGCGGGGAGACGGAAACCCTCGCCGACGGGAAAGTCCGCGTGCGACCCATCGTTACCAAGCCATGCTTTACTTTTGAGGAGTTCCATGCTCAGCTGCTGGCGGGCATCCAGAGTAGGGCGACAGGCACATCGACGATTCATGATCAGAGTTCGCGGACCCACGCTGTGTTTGAGGTTGAGATTGTCACGAGAGAACTACTGGATGCGCGGGATGCCGTCGTGGAGCGACAATCCGAGCTGGTACCGGTCGGGAAACGTGCAACTGATATCTACATCGAGGAGAATATGAAGGCCATTATCCAGACACCGGATGGCAAGTATGTTCCAAATCCGGATTACCAACTCAATCAGACTGCGATAGATGAGGCCGAGGCAAAGAAAGCCGAATACGAATTCCGGGTCCAGAAGGCGGAAGAGTATGTCTCGGAAGTGAAGAAGTCATGTCCCCATGCCTGTCTGGGTGGAAAGATGGTGTTTGTGGATCTGGCCGGCTCAGAGCACTGTCATGACAAGGGTTCCGTGTCCACAATGCGGACAAAACAGACGCCTCAGGAGCAGCAGGAGAGCAGACAGATCAACACTGATCTTCTTTCCTTGAAAGAAGTCATTCGGGCTCTGGCCCGGAAGCAGGCCCGGATTCCATTCCGGTCATCGCCGCTGACAATGGTCCTGCGCGAACACTTTGTCACGGGCGGCGATGATGGAGTTTCGGCGATGATCCTGACCACTTCGCCTTCGTCGGAGCAGTACAACGCAACGATTGATACGCTGAAATATGGTAATTTGATTGGAATGGCCGGAGTTCGATGAGAGTCTAGGAAAGAATGACCGTTGCACTCCTTATTTATATAGCTTACATGGAATAATTACGTAGATCGGTACATATGAGATAAATCCTATGTATGGTGCACAGCCCTCGCATACTTTGGAACATGGCTGGGAAGTTAAAAGCTTTCAGGATCTATTTCAAGCTGCTACTGAGGAATGGCCTACTTTTGCTGACACATTTCAGTCCTGTATCGCTGGCAGAGCACTTTGAGGACTTCAGCCAACCACTCAAAGTCCTTCCGCTCGAGATAAACCTGGGCAGACAGTCTCACCCACAACCAGCCCCCGTGCTCAACAAGAGGCACGAACGTCCCATGCTCCTCCACCAGAGTGGTTTGAAACCACCTGACCGCTGCGACAGCCTCATCAGCCTTCAAAAGCGTAGCAGAAGAATCAGAAGCTGCCAAATCCTCCTTGAAAGTGAACGGTAACCGGATGGTGGCCATAGCGCATCGCCTGAGATTGCTCTGCTCCCCCTGTTGTAGAGCCCTTTCCTCCATAACATCTGTCCCAAGCGTCGCAGCAACAATATCGGCAGCCTCATTTGCCAACCTCTCCAGGTATTCGTAGATACGGGTTTCGCCACCACAGACCGTCTTGCGGAATTCCAACGCAGCAGGAACACAGAAGTAGGGTGTGTCATCATTGGTAGCGACAAATTCGAAGAGACTCTCAAATGCACTCTTTGAAGCATCGTCACTCTTCATGACGGAAGGGGCCGTCGCGGGAGAGTCTTCGGACGGGATGAAGCCCCAGGAGGTGGGAATGGTGGTTCGAATCAGATGTTGGTTGCGTTTTGGGACATAAAGCACGCAGCAACTCCGGGGGACGAATAGCCATCTAGCGAGAGTTCACAGATAAGCCCAGTCAAAAGATGTACTGGAAATGAAATTGAGCAGATACTTACTTATGACAATTACTCGTGAAGAAGTCCGGCTGCAGTTTCCCGAGATCCAACGGCAGCTGTCCAATACCGTGCGCACCATCAATTAAACTCAAAATGCCCTCTTCTCGACAAACCTCAGTGAGTCTTTCAAAAGGGAACCGCACAGCTGGCAGGCTAGTTATGACATCAAAGAGAGCAAGCTTCACATTCAATCCTTCGCTTCGTGCCTGCCGGACGACGTGGAGAAACCGCTCCACCAGGTCATCGTGACTAATCGGCATTTCATATCGGACTTTTCGAATCTCAGCGGCCCTAGATTCGATAAATGAGACAATTCCCTTCTCTAGAGCGCCGTAGACGGTTTCAAAGTAGATGATAACATCATCTGACTTGAAAGGCAGGTTGTGGAGGACGGTGTTCACCCCCGTAGTTGCATTCTTGACGAAGACACACTCACTCCGGGGAACATTCAACAGCCTGGCGACCGCCTCCCGAGAGACATCTAGTTCTTTGGGGGTGGTGTAGCGGATGAATGGATCTGGACGCGCCTCAACTTGATCCTGGAAATGGCGCAAGGCGGTGCGAACCGCGGCAGGATACGTTCCAAATGAGCCTGAAGTTGGTTGTGTTAATCTTTGATACTAGAAGATTTGGTAAGTTCTACAGCAGGCGTTCCTACCGTGGTTCAGATTTAAGAACTTAGGGTCGAAGAGGAACTTCTCACGCATCGTTGCCCCAAAGGGAACAATAGGTGCATCGCTAGAAGCCATTTTGGTGTTGTGTCTTTTAGCTGACAGTCAACTAACTACGGAATAGTAGGTATTTAGATGATTCCTTGCGATGAGTCAAATTGCGGAGATGCTGGTCGGCCTCGGCAAAGACTGCGGCAGTACCTTTACCGCACACGGAGCAGTAACCACTATTAGCTCAATTGGCCGAATGCCCGTAATTGGATGCAGATATCAAACGCAATTCTGTAGCTTCTAGCGCCATGCCATAATTTTACTCAGAGGCACGCCTTATACCTGCTAAAGGTAGACGGTAGGTAGGGAGAGGACATTGAAAAGGAATTGCATGCGGATGACCCATCCAACTTTTGAAAATCATTCTATCATCATATGGAGAAGTTCCATGTCCGGGAAGAAGTTCAGACACTATCAAAGTAACCTGATCTCAATTATTCCGAAGTGGGAAACTAAAGAGTCTCAACTTGACCCAGCAACCACTGCAAATGGCGATACGACACACGGCCCTGATCCTGGGGCTGCTTGTGCCCCGACTGATAAGTCTCCGCCCACATCAACCCGCGCTCATAGTGTTGTACGCCCATAACTCCCTGCGGCCCGTCCAACCCTCCGTATCCCTCCTGGGCCTCAAATATCTCGTTCCACTGGAGATCCGGCATCTTAATATCGATCGGTGTGGCAGGTGCAGACTGGAAACCCAGCTGACCGTTCCAAGTCATGTTCTGGATGGCGAGGAGAGTGCCGTTCGTAATGATTAGATAGTCCCAGTCGCCGTTGGCAATGAGCACGCGGTTAGTCGCCTCAATAACGCGCGGGAGAACCCCCTCGGTGGGGTTGGGTGAGTCGTCCCCTTGCTGCTCCGGACCGGGGTCGGAATCACCGCCAGCAAAGACGAGGTCAGTGCTGCAGAGCTCCCATTCCACGTCCAGGGGGGCGTGCAGAGCCTTTTTGACATCCATGCGGTTGAAGTATGTGGTGGGCGCAGGCTCGTATGCCAGGTCTGTCGGCCAGCCAAGCACGTCCCAGAGAAGTGGACACTCATCAATGACACGGTAGGGGTTGAAGCATGGGTTGGGGTTGTAGGCTTCGTAGTAAATCATGTTATAGATGTCGCACTCGGAGTAGTTCATGTATTTGGGAGGTTGAATGCCGCTTGGAGGGAAGGCAAAGTACTCATCGAAGTAGGCCTTGTAGCCGCACTCTTCGTAAGTGGTTTCGAGCTCGTTCATGTAGGACTGATTGAAGTTGAAGAGTGAAGCGTGCTGCTTGACGAAGGGGTAGGCAGGGAGCTCGGCTTGGATGTAGTCCCATTGGCCGATGCAGGCATCGTAGAGGAGGGCTCCTATAGGGGCGTTGAAGGGTTAGGAGTAGTCCACTAAGCTTATGTGGTAATGGTTATTGGTAGATGGGGCTCGTACCGCTCAAATTGAACCGAGTGGTGTCGTTTTTATCTAGCATTGCCGACGAGATGTAGGGCATATATCGACCGGCGTAGCTCTCACCGGTTATGAAGATGCGAAAGTTCTTTATCCCATATAGGTCTTCGAACTTTGCAAAAAAGTTGAGAAAATCGGCGGCAATCTCGTCTTCGTTGGTGGCTGTAACATTGCCCACAGAAAATCCGGTTCCGACTGGTTGGTCAACCCTTGATTACCTGGAGTTAGTCACACAAAGTACAGGCCGAATGCGTCCATTGACATCCTTGGGCAGCAGCGTACCATAGCATGTTCGTCAAGTTGACCCAAGAATATTCATTGATGACAGGTGCATAGGTACCCGGCTGCCATGTGAACCTCCCATTTTCCTGGAAGAAGCCTTGTTCGGAGGAACAGCCTGGCCCTCCATTGAGGTAAACGGTAAGATCGTCCGATGGTTCTCCTATCTTAGGTTGGAAAATATAAAACAAAGATCGAGAACCATTGTTGCTGTCATCGATAGGGATCGATCCTGAGTACATCTCCCCAAGATCGAAGTGCACATCAGGTAAGCTTTCCACCAAGTGGGCTATCCAGGGGTCACCATATGTCAGTCAAGATTAAAGTTCAGGTCCAATGAGACGCATACGTTTGGTCCTATTATTGAAGAAGCGGTAGTCAGAAGTGTTGCTAGACTGAGCTCTGGTGGCAGCACGATATGTTGGATGACGTTTAGAAAAATGGGCGACAGCCCGGCTTCGTTCAGATTGAGTTGCTTCTGCACCGTTGATCAACAAAAGTGCAGCAGCAACCGTACCTGCAGGTGAAGCTAAAAACTTCATTTTGGATCAAAGTCAGCCAACAAGATTTGACAGGCGGAAATGATGTTCAGCGGCCAAGGGGATCAGGTCATCTTGTACCCAACAAGAAGAATTCCTCTGTCGAACCCGATCGCTAGGGGTTGTGCCCGTTTACTCCGATATTCTAGCGACGAAACAGATCCATTGAACTCAGATTATATTTCTCGATAGTTCCCATGTCATGATTGGAGCAACCAAGGCTAAAAATGGGTCTGTTCTGCATCGTACAGCTTTTTTACAGATTGGGTGCAATAGCGCACTTTTCGGCTTCCCGACCCATGGTGGCACGGAACCGAGCAATCAGTCAGTCTAGTAATTATTAACTAGCCAGACGCGTTTGCAGAAAAAAGAAAGTCGAAGACACTCGCTTGGCAAGGAAGTGGCTCAGACAATTTGGTCAGTCCCCGCCATATAGTCTAGCCGGTCGAAGACGACGCCGATCTGAACCGAGTTTGGCCAACTAACGATGCAAATGGTTTTCTCTTTGTAGCGCCAAGACATGTAAGCTGGTTAATAGCCGCGGATCATGGAGCCCATCGGCGATTCCTTACTCAACTCTGTGGCATGAACTCCCCAGTTCATAACTTTGCTTACCAATCGAGCATATAGCAGAGACAAGGGATTTTAGGTCAATCTTCAATTAATCTCTCTCCAATTCTCCTGTGAATAACCTGTTTGTCATGTGCAAATTGAACATATGTATGTATGAAACTGGGTTTCGGTCACAGACAAATGTAGTTGCCTGAGAGTTAAATCCTTGGTGGATCTTTTCAGGGTCATTAGTCCTGTGTTTGTAATCAGCACGCAGCGGATGGAGCCGAATTCGTCATTTCTCATTCGAGGCCGAGTCGTGATCGTAACCCTAGATTCCCCACTGGACCCTGTGCAAATGCGGTACGGAATCGACGCGCTTTCCCCAGACAAGCACCGGAAACTTGGTAGTCCCGGTCCCTCGGGGATTTATCGCCCGCTTAGATAATACGCGTAAAATCCACCTCAACGTCAAGCCAATTGTTAGGGCGACTGACTCAATCTGTACACGGTTCATGCATTTGATCTGACGATCGGCGGCAGCGTAGCCTCTACTACGGCAAACTTATCGGCAAACACCAAGCCGATGGGTCGATGTCAACGATCATATCAATCAGGCATCATATCAATCATATCATCCTCCGATCTCGGTTTCTCGGGGAGTTCTCGGAATCCAAGTTGAATGCTTGAGATTGACAGGGCTTGGGAGGATTGACAGTGGGTTCTTGTTGAGGTGCCTAAAGGGGAAACTCGACCCCTTATCAAGCTAATGTCGCTTGTTTGTTCAAAAAGTAACTCTTCTACGTCTTGTTCTTTCCTTTTTCTTCATACGAAAGATCGCTTGCTTGACTCTTACTTGTTCCATATCTAATCAGAATTTGTTCAGTAAAAGGTGAAGTCCCGACAGTGTCTTTCCTTGCATTCATTTTCTTTCTTCTCCATTCTCGCTTCAATTATACCAATCATTGTAATTATCAGCGTGAGGTAGATCCAGTTATGTAGAAATCGGTGTTCCCTCGCGTGTGTATAGAGAACTAAGACTAATATAGTGGTGGAAAAGGGAGTCGTTTCAACCGGGTGGAACATTCAAGGGTCAGAATGTTTCTACCTGCCGCTGACTTTCACCATCAAGATCAGCACTGACTACTACTCCTTAACTCCATCATAACTCCGTAAACATCCGGGACTTTACCCCACGCAGGCCACGCGTACTCTAACCTCGACTCGGGGGGTGGGTGGCACTCGGCTGTGGCCCAGTTTGAAGGGTCTAACTGTCAAGGTTGGGCACCTTAGGCATTTATTTCAGACTTTCATACTTCGTCTCTTTGCTTTCCTATTTGGTCCCCTGGTTTGTCCTGAGTAAATGTTGCGTTTTCCTAGAAAATGCTTCAGATTTACCTACGTGTATAGCTTCATGGAATCCAAGCCGACGAGGCTAATTCAATTAGTTAGTAGACTTATAAAGGGGCTACGAAATTTGGTTATTTGATTGAATAAGTAAAACTCTTGGCCTGACTGGCTGGCCGGGTCCAGTATTACCGGATAACTAGACCATAATTTTGACTTAGGCACACTTTAAATTTTTTATAGGCAGACATCATTCCGTTTCAGCACTAGGGCTGCTCCTATTAGCATGATTTACGGAGCATCAATACGATAAGTCTTTGCACTTGTATTTGAAAGGCATACTGTATGATTAGACGCTTTCCCAAAGGCTCTCTTTTATACATTCATTAAGATGCAGAATCCGGCCTCGAACATATAGTCCACTATCGCAGTACCAGTCTTCTTGCAACAATAGCTCATGCAATCCGTGACAGAAATAGGCCCAATCAATTGGTGTTTTGGCTTCGATTATTTCTTGCACATATAAGTGTTGGGTTGCAGAGCTTCTGTCAGTATGAAACGAGCATTTCTATTGAAAGGCCTCTAGTATGTTACGAGTGTCATATATGCGCCCGTAACAGTGTGGAGGGCTCCGGTAGATCATATCGACGATGATAATTTTGATTTCGAGAGGTATATGAGAAACAATAGATTTCAATGGCACATCGTGTCGGCGGTTTTTTTTATGTACTTGGGTAGCCTCTGAAATGAGTCTTCGGATGTCAGGCATCATGAATGGGCTTAAGGACATATGTGTACAGTCGGAAATTCCTCCTTCAAGTACAGAGAGGTTTTGTTTGATTTAAAAAGCCGCATGATCGTAGCATGGATATACCTGAGGGTCAGGTATCAGGTACGGCATCCAAAGGGTTGGTTCAGCTCTCCAAATATATCTTGATAGCGCGTATGAATGCACGGAGGTCCTGCTTAACAACTTCATGTCCCAGGAAACGGTCAACCAATAGCCAGCAGTGTTGGCGCATTGCATATCTATTAAGCACGGTAATTCTCCAATTCCAGTCTTCTTCAAATATGTTTGCCATATGAAAACCAACAAATTTCCTTTGACGGGCCAAGCTCGCCCCAAAAAAAAGATGACTGCCTTGTCTGGATCGACCATCACCCGGTGCATGACCTTCAGGTGATCAATCATGAGGCAGGGAGATATTCCAGAAATTGACAAGCAGCTGGTGAACGGATTGTCTAAGACTGGAAATTATGAGAGGTGTTTCTCAGAGGCAGGAAATAATCTTATCACTCATTTTCACGGTATAAGTAAGACCATATTGGGGTCTCTGTTTCAAGATCCAACTGTTCCAGCTCGGCCGCTGGCACAACTAGTCTCTTCCTCTCGTTGAATTTACGCGCTGCCCATGCTCCCCATTTCCCATGAGTCTCCAGGATGCTGTCACACCTACTATCGTCCGAGTAGTCTATCACGACATATGTACATTTTTAGTGTTATCTGGTGTTTACCTAACTATCTACCATGAGTTGGCTGAATAGGACTTTCTTTCAGTCTACTACTAACCACTTTATAAACGTCTACATATTTACTCATCTCATTCGTCCCTTCAGCAAGAAACTGGTAGTAGAGACATGTCATGACAGGGCTCCCTGATCCTACCTATTCGATGCACAAGGGAGACAACAAGCAGTTACCGAGAGAATCTTCCATGCTCAGATCTCCTATCTTCCATATCCTTACCGGGAGGTACAGAACTCTATTATCAGTGCATCCATGTCTTCAATATGGAAGTATCTATGTTTCATGCCCATTAACAGGTAATGGGTGCTGAACTAGTTAATGACCATTTAGTACCATGCCAAACAACATGTGATAGTTGAATATCAATGAAGGCACTCTATCAATCTGCCACAGGTAGGGACACTTTCAGGAATTAGTTATTTGAACCTCCTGGATGAGACAACCAGATGAAAAGAATTTGTAGGTAGAACATGTATACAACTACATGTTAGAGTGTCAGGTATACACCCGTACGTATTGGTGCTGGATGTTGACTACTCTACTGACTCTATCTGTATGCTTTGTGACAAGGTTTCTCCTAGAAATGTTATTCGGCAATCATCCTCCCTAGAGCAGGAGACATTGACAGGATTCAGATATAGGCCACACTCTACACATAGTACTCGCTCCGCAGAACAAATGATGTGTTTTGGTGACCTCACATGGAATGGTGACTGGCCAGTCATATGGGACTGTCTGTACGTTCACACAAGTCTCCGATGAGGATCTGGCCTAGACTAGCCGCATCGAAACCCAAATTCGACGCAGGTTAGGATGGACTAACAACCTTGAAAGGTATGCCGTTGCATCAACGATGATAGCCGTTAGATGTAAAAGGACTGGATCGGGTTTTATTGTGACTTGTTCAGTAAGTATGTCGGTGTGTACCATCTAGGTGATCCATTAGGTGGGGCAAACGGTCATATCTCAAGGAACTCACTGACCAGCATCGCAGGACCGACTCGGAGATGCCGACAATGACTATCGCGACATGATGCCACGATATGGCATGTTGATAAATGGGGGCGGTGTCCCTCAGGCCCATGGATTGCTACAGACTGTGTCATCACGATGGTCATCGGATTTCGCCGGTCAGTGGGTTACACAAAGTGGAGGACTCTGGCGGGACAGACCTAGAAGCAGCGAGAGGGCTGGATTGTATTATAACACCAACGTGCAAGCATCATCACCACGACATGCTTGATAGGACCTATCATCGCTAGTAGATGCCAGCAGGAAGTAGGTGTAATGTTGACGTTCGTTCAATCGAAGAGTGCAAGAATGTAGGGCCAGGGTAAAATGAAGCAGGAGGGGCCTATTTCAGACGTTCGACCTGTGGAATTCCTGGGCAAGAGGGAAAGCTTAAGAACGAAGCAGTCTCACTAGATGAGTTATTATGAACGATAATAAAAAAGAAAAAAACATACAACAGAAGGGATTCGCTGGTGGTCACCCACCCAACTACTAACCTCCCGGCGTGTGGCTTAAGTACGGCTGAGCGGACGGGAAGCCCTGTTTTCCACACCCTGTGGTCGTATGTACTTATTCTTTTTTCATATTACTTTATGGGTTTATGTAGTGCAAAGGATTATAATCAAAGTTGATAGACGTGAACACGAAGCCTACCTACCAACCATCTCAGTTTCGATAAGCAGGGAAGGTAGCCTTAACGTCAACCACAATCGCGCGGCCCATCTTGTAATTCCATATAAAATATGTCTTTCTTAGAACTATTATATCTCAATTATTTTTTATTTAGAGGGCTATAACTTTGTATTTAGATTATAAATATAATAATAAATATACCAGGATCATTCAAAAAATTTTAAATAATTAATATATATTCAATATCTTGATAATTTAGAAATACAGGTAAATTAAATGTATTTTATGTTATCAGCCAATATATGTAGCAATAAAAATCTAAAAAAAATATAAAAAATAAATTCATTGAAATATTAATCTATATATTCAAAACAAAGTCTAATGCTTTGTTGGTGGTTGAAATATTTCAACTTAAAAAGTAGTTTTTATATAGCATGATTAGATGGGCCGCGCGATTGTATGGGCCGCGCGATTGTATGGGCCGCGCGATTGTATGGGCCGCGCGATTGTATGGGCCGCGCGACTGTGGGTTACGTTAACACGTATACTAGTCTAGACCAAGCAGCTATGGCGGAAGGCCTGCCAGCAATAACCCCAAACGACTAGACAGATTTGTTCTTTCGGTAGGCACTAAGTAATCCACGATAGGAACAAAGATATTTATACCGTTACTGTAAATGGGGATATGCCTACCACGAATGCCAAGACAGGGCCACCGGGGACGAGCATTTGCAGTGAAGGAATCTTACGAGCTAATCCATTCCCCTTTGCCTTCGATAAAGAGCGGAGCGAGTAGAATGACCTGGGTACTTTCATTATAGTCTTCATGCTAATTTCCGATCATCTGGAATCCCCTTCTTCTCCTCATCTGTCAGGTACACGTTAAAGATTTCAGCCAGCGCTTGTAAACGCTCATCTTCTGTCTGGCACACCTTGATGACCCTGGTATTGGCGCCAATTGTTTCTCTCACCGTGTCCTGGAACAACGTGATACTACCCACTATTACCTCCTCATCCTCGTCCATAATCATTTTCGTACAGGTGATGTATCTGGTGAACCAGGATCGCGGGTTTGTTGATGTGAACCAGGACATGACTTCGTAGTCCTGGGGCAAGAACTCTGTCTCCGTGAAGCAATAGACTGGCAACCACTCTTTCTTGGCGTCATCCGCTGGGTTGTAGCAGACATCGAAGCACCACATCCTCGGTGGTCCGGTGCTATTGGCAGAATGCCTCGCATACGACTCGGGTATAGGGCGTAACTGCACGCGGATCAAACGTGGGGCGATGCTGGTCGTCTGGAATCCGTCACGCAGCGGATAAGGAAGGTTGGGACCCTTGGTCATGCCGACATCTACAACGTACCACTCCGCATCCAGTCGAACAAGGTTGAGCATGTGGTTCCACCCCTCATAAGTGTTGCTCTGATGGCGCCGGACCTCTGGGTAGGGACTCATTGCCCGCGCCACGCGACCTCCGCAGTTGCGTACCTCATAGCCGATGGAGCGAAGCACGGTGGCGAAAAAGGTGTTGTTTTCCATACATCGCCCGCCAAGCCGGCGGCGAACGATCTTGGTGTAGAGATCCGACAGGTCAAGTGTGACGGTCTTATGTGTGGAATAATGCAGTACGAGGTTCTCAAAAGGCACATTACAGGTATGGTAGCGTGTCAGGGCCTGCAGCAAGGGCAGCCCATGCTCTCTGGTTCTGGCCTGGGTGGTGTCTTTTAGCACAGGTGATTCCAGATACTTCTGTGGGAGCTTAATGCACTCAAAGTACTCACGTAACTCGACATCGCTGTACCGAGTACGGGAACCCTCTCCGAGCGGAAGCTGGGTAAGGACAGTGGGCGCAGGGTTGGACGACATGGCGGGTGAGTCGGACCAGTCACAGATGATATCAAAATCGTATACAGTTTTGGGGGAATATTCAGAGCTGTAAGATCTTGAGTATCCAGATCAAAGATTAGTGGGCAACGTGAGTGGTGATTCGGAAAGCTTCGAACTACACGTATCCAGGGTGCAGGTGATACTTATAAATCAGTGGAACGCGAACAAAGAGATATGGGAAATAAAAGAAGCCAGCATTCTTAGTAGTAGATCTGTCATCGACCACTGACTAAATTCCTGCTGGCTAAAGCATCATCTGGCATTTCAGAAGGCAAAGAATTAGAGTCCCTTACTTACGACTATGAAATCATGGACTTGATTTCCTATTGGTCCTCTTATTGTTCGACTACCACCGTAGGAATAGAAATCATTTTCCAGTTCTCTTCACCTAACTATAGCCTGCCAGCAGCCAGACCGCTAGCACGCGCCGATGCTCTCCGCGTAGGGGTGCTGCTCATGGGGCGGCATGGGTGATTGGATGGGTATGGCGAGAGGTGTCCCCTGAGCACATCATTGAGCTGCTGTAGCTTGTGTTCAACAGGCGAGATGCGCTGTTCCACATCAGAGCAGTAACCCTTGCTTACAGTGATGATGGTGACCAATATAACTGGGCTTGTGCAGTAGAGGCAACCCAATCCAAGTGACATGCAAGATGAGCGGGAAGGGCGCTATCCCTTGCATTTGCCACGAACGCCAAGCTACTCTGTAGTGAGTTGGCATACCTAGACTTGCGCAAGCGGCAGGCGTTGCATGCCAGACCGCCGATTCGCTGCTTGTTGCCGGGGGGACGGGATCCAAGCTCCGATACTCGGTGGTGGGTTTCTTGAGGTCTGTTTTCGCTATTTTAGGCATGAATCGTAATGCGTATGTATATGTGTGCGCGAGTTGGTTGGGTGGGTTAGAAACCAACAGGGCTGAGTCAGTGAGCCTCGGACCATCAGGTCTCGGGAAGCCACCTTAAGGAATCACGGGAACACGAATACCTTGCAGGTTTAAACCTTTAACATGGAGGCAAATATTTACATTGATGTGAAGATCTACCAACCTGTAACCCACCTCATTCCCAGTTTTTGCGGAGTTTTAGTGTGGGGAGTGCACAAGATTCATCCTACATACCCGGACCTAATGCTCCTTCACGCCCACATCTGTTGTTGTGAAAAGTGACACCTTAAACTTGTAGTATATGTATACAAGCTTCTTTCTCCGTCACACAATACCATTGTCCTTTCATCTGTTCAGTATTATGCATAACCCCTTACTGATAAGCTGCCCATGTGTAGCTAAATAAGAATTTGGCACTAAGATCTCTATGCTATCAGGCAAAGCCAATATAACAGGGCATACGTATCACGAAGAGGAGTTGGGGAATCAGATGTTTACCTTTTTACCATTGCCTAATGCTACATCGTTGGGAACGGTCTTATAAACGCTATCAAGTTGAAAGAACTTAGAACAGGAAAACACTGACTACGACACGTATCAGGACTTCCTGCCCTCTCTATGCAGACGGAAATGTTAATCAGCCTGGCACCTAAATTTACTCTGACTGCCGGGATATATATCTTTACTTCCTGGTAATGCCACGGCAAAGCTCTTTTGATAAAATCACCAATGCAAGTCACATCCCTCTTTAGGCTATCACCATGGATGACTCTGTTTACTGTTAGAAAGGCCCTGGTCCAGACGAAAGGTTGTGTTGATACTCACCCTCCCATCCCAACACCAAAATGTCCCATTGTCCCCTTCACCTTTCTCCTCAATAATCCTCAGCATCCCCTCCACGCTCTCTCTCGGCTGGATCACACCTTCTACTACCCAATCCAACTGCACATTCGCCATATCACTGCCGCAACAAATCAGCGCAACAGATCTCAGTTCAGGCAAACACAACCAACAACCAGGGAAGCTGAAAGTCAATAGCCGATAACAAGGGTACTCACGTTTCCACCTCGCCCGGATGCAGCGCCAACACGCACGTCCGGACACCCTTCCGCGAGATTTCCGCCGCCATGTGCCTCAATGATTGATTGAGGGCTGCTTTGGTCGCCGCATATACGGCAAATCCGTCTTCGTGGCTTCGGAATTGGCTCGCTGAACCGGAGTCAGAGGAAATGAATATGAGTCTCTCTAACGGTGTGGTCGGGTCGATCGAAAGCATCCTTTGGGCGACAATTATCGGGCCAATTGTGTTGGTTTGCAAGTGGTGAGTAAACGACTGGAAAGAGCTAGTATATAATAGTCAATGAGAGTAAAGGATATATGTGTCTCATGGACGACGATAGGCGTACATCTCTGTAGCACGATTTGGATAGTGGTTGATACCGGCATTCAAAATGACATTCGTCAATCGTAAACCTCCATTTTGCACGACCTTTTGGACGCTGTGAAAAAAGGTCTAGTTTCATGTGTCAACTTCCACCCTCATCACCAGTGGATATGCCATGACGCTTAACTCACATCGATACTATCAGGCTTGGTAACATCGCATTCCTCTACGGTGATTAGCGGAGCACCATTCCGAGTATACTGGGGAAGCAATTCGAAGAGCTGTTCAGCACTTGATAGGCTGCGTACTGCGGCGATAACGCGTTCCCCAGAGCTTGCTAGCTGCCGAACGAACTCCAGGCCGATTCCTCGTGATGCACCCACAACAACCCATGTTCTGGTCATTTTGATCAATTTTCGTAGCAGGATAGATATGAGGATGCCAACAGCGGGCACAACTGCGAAAAGGATATGAGATTATGAATATGGGTGGGCTTATTTTCGACTCGACCTGCTGCCCGACACGCTGGTCTTATTCTGGTGAGACGATGAGCGTATCTTTTGCCGAAAGTGGAAAAGCTGTGGAGTCAAGTTGGAAGGAATGGATGGATAAGGGCAACCCCGCAGATAGGGAGTCCATCTCCACCTTCCTTCGGCTCCCGAAACTTTTACCAATCCGTAGACACGCCTCTCCCGCTGACACCAACCTACCAGCATCATCCACAGCGAGTACTGATGAGATGCACCCTGCTATATTTTACTACTGACGAAGATATCGACTGATCTGTACCGCATCCTTGAGCACATGGATGGGTTGATCAGACCAGGTCGACAAATACCTATCAAAGAGCCCGGCGGTCAAGTCACGTCATTCCTGTCTCAACGCATGCCACCCAAAAATATCGCATCTGATAGCCTTCGCCTTATTTCTCAGCTCTACGATGAACTACCGGATGATCTGAAGTGAATTAAATCATGACCAGCGATCCGCAACAGGACCGGTATGGATTCATTGGTAAGGCTTTTACAAACCACTTAAACAAATCACTAATAGGAGACTAGCTTCTAACATCCTTATCACTACCTAAACTTTGAAAATGGTTCTTGTCGGTAGTGAAAAGCCCAGTGTGCATATGCGCTGTGCCGTCGCAACTGAGCTACTCGATGAATTGAGTGCTGTTCCGTTGGCATTCTTCCACGCATCAAGCACAGTGACAGTGAGTCTTCCTTCTTTCCGGCGACGTCCAGTATCTGACCTCAACAGCTCCACCATTTGGCCCAACCAACATCCTGTATCAGTTTGGACATATCTTTAAGTTAGAAACATCCTGCTTGTTCTAGCAGAGTTTCTGACCAAAATCGAATCAAGCCGATCATCTACCCCTGGTCTCGCGGTGAAACTGCGCGGTCAGATCAGTCGAACCGACCGATGCATGCAGCAACTCTCGCAACAAAACTCCGGACCCGGACTATCATCAATCGGGCGAACGCTACTTTCTAACAACGCCGATCTCAGTATCTTGAGATCTCCAGAGCAGCCAGTACCAACTGACATAGCTCGTGGTCATCAAGAAAGTTTTGATTCCATTGGGAACATCGACACAAATCTAGACCTCTGGTCTCAAAATCAGGTGCCAGCCGTGGCTTCACAGCCCCCCTCATACCTATCACCCTCTCGGCCCGAGCGCTGCTCCGCGCCTTCGACTTTACACAACACTCAAAGTCAAGAAACAGACATACCATTTAGCAATGCCTTTGACTTCATGCAACCAGATTCATCACAAGCCGCCTTGAATAATGGAAGTATGCCGACCACCAATCGATACGTGCTTCCCAGCAATCTAATTTGACAAATGGCCATTCTTTCTCGGACAGACGGATACCTATGAACCGGTAGATTCCTTCTTGTTTTCCAATGGGAGCCGCCAACATGACAACATTGTGTTGAATGGCCAGTGATGGTGACATTGTTTGGAGCTGGATGGTCTATCCAGGTGTGTTCTTTCTATCAACATCTAAAATGGTCTATCCATAGTCCGAGAAATGCTATGTATCATATCAACCTAGAGCTATTGCTTTATCAATAAAGTGTTGTCGGTGTTCCTCCGAGAACAGCCTGGGGATAGCATCTCAATCGTGGTAGGGTGACACGCAGGCCCTGTGCTAAGCCATATTAGCTGAAGAGGACCAGATTTATTTAAGCTACATCTGGCCTTGCATCTTAGCCTTCCCCACTGCTGCTGAAGCTGTGGTCAGTATCCACTGGTCAGTATCCACTGGGACCGACTACAGTTAGCCTGATCACAGTCGGCGCAACATGGGGCATACTCGTCTGGGTGTGAAGAATAATGTGACCCGCTCGACCGGTTTTTCGCTGGTCGACTCGACGGATAGCAAGCTTCCTAAGGCATTATCATCTACCTGCTTGTCGATGTCATCTATGCCTGATTCCAGTTTACGGTACAGTGGAATCGCAAGGAACGAGTTTGCAGGATCGGGATATCGGTTAATCATAATGTTACTACATCGCAGACGTTCGAGAACGACGTTGGAGCTATATTAGTAATTGTCCCATTATCACTCCAGACAGATACGCTGTGGGTAAAGGAACGTTGCATCTGCCGTCGACATCACCAAGCCCGCTCTCCCAGCATACTCTTTTGTGGTATACTCAAGATTTGCTCATACTCAGTCAGAGATATAATGGATAACAAATACACCACGCAGCAGCATAGGCTTATCTCGCACCGTTCCGGGAGACTTTCTTGGGGTGGGGAATTTGACACTGTACTTAGTTTTCATAATATAGATACCAGCCGGGTCTGCCGGTCATCTAAATTGATGTCTACTTTAGGTCAAAACATCCCACCTACCAGCGAGTCAGAATTCCCTGTCCACTACGTATGTAACAAAGATAGTAAGTAAGCCTAGTATTAGTCCTCATGGTTCACATTGTGTTGTATTTTGTCCCAAGGGTAAGAAAAAAGAAAAAGAGAAACAAAGAAACAACAGGAGACAGAAAAGGGAGAGACGAAATGAAGGAAAAGCGTCTACTTCATTGACTATATATTTGACAATATTCTATCAAAACCAATAATATTCTCAAGGCTCCAGGAGCATTCTGGTAGCTTGAGTATCCTAGTTTGGAAATATATCAACGCCCTAATCCAGGGGGCATCCAACTATTCCAGTTGCTAATATATCCTGACAAAATTAGTAAAACAGAAATATCTTTTTGCAGGCCAATAGGTGAGAAGTTACCTACTTACTGTGCAACCTCAGTACTAGATAGATTCTTAATGATGTTTACAATATTATGATTATGTGATGTATCGCGACCTAAAAATTCACTTTACCCGAACAGGCCGGAATCTACGTGATTAGTCAGCGGTCCTCTTAGCATTTGTCTTTGGAGAGAGCATCAATCGTTATGTATAATAGAATGTAGAATCTAGTATTTTCACTCTAATTTCGACAAGCTCTACTACTATGGTCCGATACTATGTTCCTTGTAGCAGTATTCTGCCCAGTTACGCGCTGTCTCTTCGATGTCGCAACGGTCAACGGTATGAACAGTTCTGGGCTAAATATATATCAGTGACTTAAACAGACCCACTTCTACTCACGAGGCAATCGCCACCGATTGAGGCCATCCTAGACGTCTGGTACGTGAAACAGGAAATCAACGGTCTGAAGAGAGTACCGATAGGCATCTAGCTTACTGAAGCACCACGGCTCTACTCCGACGGGGTGCCCGATCCTGAATGCTACCATTACAAGTGACTGGGTCGATCGATTCTAGCTCCGCGGCCTCGTGAATCTTCGATTAGCTTTCCCACATGGTATTCTAGCCCATCACGGATTGAAGAGCAAGTCGGTCAGGTCACTTACAGGTAGATGCTAGATAGATGGCACTAGGCGAAGGTTCCGACCCACTCAGATCTTCACTCGTAGCCATCTGCAAATGTCGCGTCAGGGATTGCGCAGACCCAAAACAAAGTTAGCCCAGTCATCCACGGGCTAATGGCACACGCTGAAGCTTGAGTTAGGAACCACAAGTGGTAAGTCTCATTGTCATGGAGGGTTCCAGTGGGACGAGAGGGCGCCGCATGCGGTGATGCCCCACTGAACCGTACATTCCAGTCGGACTGCCGCGCATTCCCGATTCGACGGAATTCTCCGATCTGTTGGGGTGACGTTGTCCGATTAATAACAATAATGCCCTATGATGTATCGAAGACAATGGAATATGGGCCAACAAGAATTCTATTCACTCTCTTCCTCATGTGGCTTGTGCGAGGCGAAGGGCTTGCATGATCTTTAGACTTTGGCGCTGGGCGAGCATTGCTGCCGAGGGAAGGGGGTCAAGAGAGAACTGCCAAAATGAACGGTGGTCAACCGGCAGATTCGGTTAGGAGCAGCAGTATAGCATATCAGAAACCATACCAGCCAATTCTGACACTGTTACATGGCTTCCTGTCGGGCACCCCGAAAGACCTGTCGTTGCACCTTTACTTATAACATTCCAGGTAGGTCTCCTTGGATACCCACGTCAGACAAGTCCATCTCTGCTGATCGTTTCCGGCCATCACAGCGACCGGACGGATCGCCATTGTTCCACTTTTTGAAAGCTTGTTGACTGGGAGCAACCCCAATTGAAAGCTTACCTTCGTTGATCAACTCACCAATCATTGTTGCAATTCCGTCCCAGCGTCGGCTTGGCCGCTATTGACCCATGGCTTGACAGCAGTCATGTCGTTACACAACAGCTGTGCCAACCAATATACGACCGGATTAGTCCGTGGGAGAAGAGCTTCCCCAGCCGGACCATCGTAGATCGGGACCTGGAGTGGGGAGCTTTAGCTTCCATCGTACATCTAACTGGCCATGTTGGGTCTTCCCTACCCTAAGCTGGGGCAGCTAGCTAGCTTTGAGTTCTGGTCTACCTCATGTTGACGTCTTGCATTGGGTGAGAGAAATACGGAGACCCCGTGGAGATGAGGCTATGGAAGATATAAAAACGAGAAAGATGTACTCTGGTTGTTTGAGATTCATGATCCAAGATCGATCCAAGACGTCTGGAAAAATACAAGCCTAATTACTATTGTGTGACAACCAATTGAGGTTATTTGTCTGAATGATTATCACTCAAGAGACTTTCTGACCTTCAGATGACGTTCGGCTCTTATTTTTGTTATCTTTTTATCATTTAATACTTAATATCCCTGTTAACCTGTTTCATTAATAACCCAATCAAATCATCCCAAAAATGGCCACCTCCTTCCAACCTAACGTGCACTACACCTTTGGGTCACCCCTGTCTGCGAGCTCTATCTTCGGCAGGCGTCAGGCCTCCAATATTCTGGAGCAAGAGAGTTATTCTAACAGTAGCTTTCAATCTGGGAGTTCCAGACATGTGTCGAGAAGAGTCAGCAGCAGTGGTAATACTGCACTAGCTGATGTGGTTAACACACTCACCCGCCGGAGCAGCGATGCAATGATCGCATCCAAAATCAACGATGCCGACTATGAGACATTGCTGAACTGGATCCGAGCTGAACGTATGGGGAAGCTACCCCCTGAGGGAAGCAGCTACGACAAGGCCCTGGTCTGGGCTGTTTTGTTCGTGGGACGTCTGCATTCCTTCGATTTAGCCATTGGACACTTCGCTGGCGACAGCCACACAGCGGCTCAACTGGCTTACGTGTACTGTGCTAACCTACTGGAGGTATGTGTCATGCCTTTCCCATTCTATCATCAGAAATATATAATAGATGGCTGATAACGGTTCATAGCTCGGAGAGCAAAATGCGTCCGCCCTTCAAGACCTCTTCGGGTTCTTCTACCGCTGCTCGACTGGACTTGGCAACTTATTGGACAGAACGGAACTCTTCGATGTGTCCAAGGATATTAAGGATCAGCTGATTCTGGCATTGGCTGACCTTGTTACTCTGGTTGCTGGCGTTGCGAGCCACTTCAACCGCGCCTTGCAGAACTCCCAGACGGTGGAAATTGACGTCTACCATCAGTTTTCCGAGTCGCTCAGCAGCTTTCACAGTCGCTGCGAGACCGTCTCTGACCTGATGTGGAGACACCAACTTGTCCGCGAGGGTCTGAACGGTGATAAAGGTCTGCAAAAACCCTCATTATAGATTAGTGAGATTGCATTACTGACGATAATCACCGCAGTGACCGAGATAAAGACTATCAGAAGCTGGCTTGAGCCAGAGGATCCAGCTCTCACAAATATCACCGAGAATACTGCTCATTTTGCTCAGGAGCGTGAGGAATCAACCTGTCTCTGGGTGTCCCAGTACTTGACCAGATTTCTCAAAAGCAACCAGCAAGTCCTTTCCTTCGTAGGAAAGCCGGGATCTGGTAAATCAATCCTGTCAACGGTCATCAACGACCATTTACAGCATCCGGTTGGAGGTGTCACCTACAAGCCAATCTTTGCGCCAATTAGTGAGTACTCCTAGATCACATGGTATTGAGCGTGTCTAATATATCATACAGATGGCAGGGTGGCTGCGAATACTACACCGCGGGCTATTGCGAAGACGATCCTCTCCCAGCTGTTTGGCAAACGCATCGGCAATGTTAGGTTGTACCAGATCTTAGCCGATGCTTATGAGCGGAGCCAGAGAACTGTTGATGAAGATGCGTACGACAATATTCTCTGGAATGCCTTGGGCAATTCCCTCAATGCCAGTCTCAAGAATGCCAAAGAGCTTGTTCTGGTCGTTGATGGCGTTGACGAGGCTAGTTGCGGCGAGACACCTTTGCTAAGAAAGCTCCAAGAGGCTGTTCAGAACGCCGGAAACGTAAAGCTGATTGTCTTCGGCTCCCAGAAGCCGAGTCAATTCCCATCCCAAACTACGGTGAACGTCACTCCTGAGCTGGTCTTCGATGATATTGCCGCCGTGGCACGTAAAATCCTGCAACAGAGTCACGCTTTCAACTA